TGAGAGCTCGGTGCTGTCACGGTTTAAACTTTTTGTGGAGCATGTTTTTTAATTCTTCAAATATTAAGTTATTTTGTTCTAACGTTCAAACCTTTAATACAGTACGTAAAAATTTTCGTTCACTATGAAGTTTTTACATTTATGTTAATAAAGTTAATTTATTGTAAATAGGATATTATTCATCATCTTCAGCCATGTGAGGTCCACTGCTGGACATAGGCCTTCCTCATCGACTTCCAAGTAATACGGTCGGAGACGGCCTGCATCCACCGGGAACCCGCGCCTTGACTAGGTCGTCCGTCCATCTCGTTGATGGACGTCCGACGCTGCGCTTTTCGATCTGTGGTCTCCACTCGAAAACTTTTTGACCCCAACGGCCATCTGTTCTCCTGACTATATGGCCTGCCCATTGCCACTTCAAAGAGCTAATCCATGTAGCTATGTCGGTGACTCTCGTTCTTCTACGTATCTTCTCATTTCTGATTCGATCCCGTAGGGAAACCCCGAGCATAGCTCTTTCAGCGACTCTGAGTCTATTTATGAGGCATTTGGTGAAGCACCACCTTTCGGATCCATAAGCCATCACTGGCAACACACTGAGGTATTTTGGACGAAAAGACGTTTTGTAACTTAATATTATATATCTTAATATAAAATTTAATATGTAAGAATTTCATATAATAAAATATAAGTTTGTTAATAACAGTTGAAGTGTGAATAAGACTTTGAAATGTGTATATCTTTATTTGATACAGTTTTAATACTCACTAAGTCACGTATACTCAGACTCATTAAACATTTCCTTGACGGAATATGAATTATTAAAAACCCATATAATTTTCTAGCATCTATTCATGGAAACTTATTGTGTATGAACCGTTTTATTTTTATGATTGTTTCGATTATCAGACATTAAACTGGAATGGCCTTTCTGCCTTTTAGCAATGAGATATATCTAAGGGTATGAAACATGTAATACTGAGATACCAGCATTTCTCTTATATTAAAAACCAGCATAATATTCGTCATTGCTTCTATTTCTCTAACCTTGTTTAGTGTCTACTAATTGACTACGTTATAATAAAGTATTTTTGATTGAGGTAAGCGTTAGAAAATTTAAAATACATATACATATATTTGATAAAAAACGAAACGAGAATTTGAAAAATTTTATATTATAACACTCAATTTTCAAAATGCGGTTTATAGAACCTATTCTAAACAACTACTAAAAAATATTTCACTAACCATACTTTTCAAAAGTCCTAACCTGTTCCTTGAGCACATTGAAGAGCTGTTCAAGACTTGGTTTATAATAATACGAACAGAACAGTTGTTAGTTAAAAACGTTCAGAATACTTTTGACGGACTTAAAACTGACATTTATATAATGTTTTCAAAAAGGTAGAACATTAGCATTATTATAAAGCCAATGTAGACAACACGAAGAGGTATGTTAAGGTAATAATTAAAATATTTATACCTCTATGCTTTAAAATGCATATTCATTTATAATAAATTTAAAGAATTCATACACAAGTGTTAACGTATTACTTTTATAGAATGGTGACAACCAAAATGTACTTTTTTAAAATGTACAAACCTTTATGTCTAGATACAGAAAAAACTTTTAAATTAACCAATAACTTAAGATACTTATATTACAATTTAAATAAAAGAAAAATGATAAATATATATTTGTAAATCCACACTTTGATTATGCTGTTAAATCAAATATAGTTATTAAAAATGCACATTTCTAAAAATATTTTTCTAATAATTATAGAATGTTTAAATTATAAAATTTCTCAGCATTACAATAATCCTTAAGTGCAATTTAATTTTATAAATGAATCTGAAATTACTGTTATTTGTACTAGTATTATAAATGCAAAGGCATATAGAAGCATATACAAAGTATGCATTCATATGTCCATATAAATACTTAATAGAATTTTACCAAAAAAATACATTTTATTTATAGGAATGTGGCTACATTATAAATTTGTAAAAAGAAATCTTCATTTCTGCATTAAAATATAATATTAATTAAAACTAAAGGCTTAAATGGAATACGCAGAAAGTCGCGAACCATGTTGATGTTAGCCCTCCGGTTGGTTTAGATACCTCTTATACTTTTTATTCCCTTGAGCTCTCTGAAATCTATAGAATTATATCCTTTTCTGAATTGCAAAGAAACAAAACATATAATGTGTATACATGTATAATCATTTTGTAGCGATGATATGTTTATTAACATTTTCTACGTTTACATTTCCCAAATACTGGCATGTTCTCATACACACAAACACATGCACATACACACACATACACACCTACACACACATACATAGTTAAACAGTGCATGTTCACATACACATACATGCTTTGAATAATCAAAGCATGAGAATGAAAACAAATTAAAAATAGTACCATTTATTGAGACACACATACTTATCTAAATTATTTATAAATTATAAAGACCTGGTACATCATGCCAAAAACTACTAATCTCATTAAAAGATGACTGCATCTCCGCTACTTCATTCGAGGAGGGGTCAAATTGCTCCACCTGTAAAATAATTATTTTCCATTGATGTAAGTTTTTTTACTTAAAAATAATACAACAAAATTATTTAATGTGAATTCTTTAAATCGTAATAATTAATTATAGTGACGGTGCTTCAAAAAAGTCTATGACGCAATCCATTGGGATGCTTGAATTGGTTCACAATTAACTTTTTTCGAAATTCATAGTGATTTTTCTTTAATTAATACTTTTTATAATAAAAAAATTAATAATTATATTTTAGAGCTTATTTTTTTAAGAACAATGAATGTGTATAAAATTGTTAGTTATTTTATTCTATTGTTTGTTATGTTAAAATGGCAATGATCTACATGTAAGTCTTAAGTTAGTGTTAATCAAATTTAATCTATTCTTTTAGCTACATTTTTGTAGTAGATCTATATAAATAAGCTAATGTTGTATTGTGCTTTATTTACTTTCAAGAACAAAGATCTGTTAAAGCATAATTTGTAAAAGGCGTTATGGATTTTAAAAGTTAATGATTCGTAACCTTGTTCAAAATTATTTGTAACAAAAACATTGTATCGAAATACTTTGTAGCTACGTAATAATTGATATATAAATACTTTTCCCACTACAAAATATTTTGTATTGAAACTTATGACGTCGCGATTTTTGGTTAGCATAGATAATTTTCATAAAATATATTTTCACGATATTGGTTATCAAATAATAAATAATTGTTTTAGTAAGAATTCTATAAAATTAAAAAGATTGGGATTAATGACCCCTAAAGTTTTGCGCGGTATTTGACCATTTTTTCTGAAAGCAACTAGTGTAACCGGTTTCCGTCTCCTTTCAAACGGTTCAAAGTATCCCTGTAAAAAAAAAAAACGGAAATTACAAAATGTACCACTCATGTTAAATTAAAATGTTAAGTTGTGTTAAGAATTTCAGAGTTAAATATTACATTTTATTAAACTATTATCGTGGATTACATTTTATTAAACTATTAAGTAGTACCTTGTTAAAAGATGGATCAAATCCAAAGGTGAGAGGTTTTGCGAGTCTTGTTAATAAGTATGGTTGCTTAAAAAATACTTGCTGGGATGTCGTATCATCTGGGTTTGATTGCTAAAGAAATTTAGAAGTTTACATGTAGATGACAAATAAATGTAGTAACGTTTATGTATAGAACAATTGCACAGGAACTACTTATACTTTTGTGTTTTTATGATTCTTGTTCATACATATTTCAAAACAAACTATGTTAAATATGCTTCCCTGTAATTACTACTGAGGGCCTAAAAGTTTTGACATTTTGTAATTTTGTATAGTAAATTTACTTTAAAAAAATTCGTTACTGTTGAAAGTATACAAAAAAATATTTTTATTGTTATTTTTTGTCATATATAGTATTATACTTACCGATGAAGCTGGACGATACACCCATAAAGATTTTAGGTCTGGGTTTACGTTTCGAGCATCTGGGGTGGATGCATATTCAATGGAAGACATTTTTGTCGGAGTGATATGTAGATTAGAATCTTTGGTGGGTTTCGTGCCTAAAAAAATAACAATGTTAAAGAAATACCATTAAATATGTTTGAAAAACACATAACATACTTTGTAAATGCACTGGAAAATGTAAAGTAATAAAAATAAAAATGACACTATAACAGTCCATTTCTAAAAGATTTTTATGCGAGTTGTGCGGTCACCACAATTAGGAGCTAAATAAGTAAAAAGCGGAACTGATGGTCTTCTTATAACTGCAAAAACTCGTTCCTTGAATGATATGTTTATTATGACAAGAGTCAATAGTAAGTTCATGGAAATTGAAATGTTGCTTTTCACTGGAGTCAATACGTAGAATAAGAACAGAGTTCTATCATAATACAATCACTATTGATTGTTTTCTCGCAAGGCAACCTATAAAACATTTTAACTAATTGACAACATCGATTCCTATAAGTAATTCTAACATTATTTCCTACTTTGGTACGTGAATGATAATAATATTTGTATTTCTTTTTACAAAAATAATGGGAACTCTTAACTGAGTCAACCTCTATAGAAAAAAAAACAAAAAATGATAATGAAAAGACAATTAATTTAAAAAAAAGCAAATACCTTGCTTTAGGTGAATATAAATACACACATACATATTTAAGGTTAGGTTAGATTAAATATGCAGATTCGTCAGTCACAAACTACTAAGAATTTATTTATATAATGTAAATGGATTTATTTATTTATTTATATATTAAACTTAATACTAGAAGTTAGCGGGAGGATAATAGAACCAATAGAGTTGTACAGGTTTATACATTAAATATATATTTAAGTTAAGTAACAAAGTAAAGTGGCACAAAGTAACAGAGTAGGGTTAGGATCAAGTAGGAAAGTCCAAGATATATTGAAGTCTTTTATTCGGCAAGACGAGAATGATAAATATAAGATACATACAATGGGTTTAGAAATGCAGAACGAGTGGTTAGACATAGGAGATTTTTGCATCCCATCAGCATTAAAGTGGCGCACTTTAATTTATGATTGGTCGCCAGCATTGCTTAAATTCTATCTCAATGCACTCCAGATGACTCTCCCAGATCAGAGAAATTTAGTAAGATGGGCTAAAGGTACCGAAAAAACTTGCTATATCTGTGAAAAGGCAGTTGGAACTGCTAAGCATCTGCTGGTGGGATGTAAGGTACTCCTAGACAGAATCGAGTCGTCACGATAGGGTTCTAGAAATCATACGTGAAGCAGTTAAAAGTAAATAACCACAAACGAATGATCAGTAGTTTTTGTGAGAGAAGGCACTGGGTCTACAAAATAAAACGTAAAGCCTTATTCCATCCTTAAAGCGGCCTCGGATTGGACTATAATGATGGACACGTATGAGAAAAAATATAAAATCCCCGAGGATATTTGTGCGTCGGCCTCCAGACCAGACATATTTTTGTATTCGCGAATTTTAAAGCGCGTTGTGATGATAGAGCTTACGGTGCCTTGGGAAACCAACATCCCAAAAGACCATACCATCAAGGTCAACAAATATTACGAGCTCACTAACAAACTCACTCGAAATAGGTTCGTCATGGATTTGTACGCGGTAGAAGTGGGAGCGAGAGGTATAACAGCGAAATCTTTCTACAACCTACTAAAAGACTTGGGCTTGTCTAGAACTCACATAAATAAATTCTTGGAACGTACATCGAAGGCAGCCCTAGTAGGTTCTTTTCAAATTTGGTTAGGTAGGGAGAGGAGCTTGGACAGTGGAGGTGAGCGTATAAGGCGCGTTAGATAAGGGGCCTCTTAAACCTACGCCTAAGTCGCAAGTCCCATGCACTGTTGAAGCTCCTCTCCCTGTAACGCGGTGGACAAGGTGAATCCATGGAATATTGAGAAGTTTTGTCTCGTCTCTATTATTAACAAAGGCAATTGGCTAAAAAAATATGTGCTTTAATGTAATTTTTTCGTTTTGGTCAATCATTAAATTTATAAAATGTATACAAATTAAGGAATGCACTATTCAAAGTATTATAAAAGATTAGCTATCGAGTGGCATTTATTTCAGTCTGGTAATAGATAGTAGTTTATTCACGAGAAGCGATCTTAACAATTGCCAAGTAAGGTCTAGTAATGTGTTTTTTCCAATTTACCACATTAATAGAGATAAAGTTTGGTCACAAAACTCACACACTGCATGGTTGCCTAAGGAGCCTTTGCTTGGTGGCTTAAGATTAAAGTACGCAATGAGCGTCTAGTAAATAGGCCATAAAAATATGGTACACCCGTTGACGACGGCTTACATAAGGATATATATACAAGGCAGCCCCACGAGCTATACTTAATACGTCACCCGTCGAGGATTAGTTGTATCATCAGTTGCTATTCCCCACAGTATGAAGTTGAGTATAAACAACTCTATGACACATGCTGTCACCTTTGATTAAATATAAAAATACTTTCCTTTTCTTTTGGCAGGTGATAAATGGATATTCAAAAAGTTCGTAAATATCATTTTATGATAGAAAATAAAGACATTCAGAATTTTCACCGACAGTTCAAAAATTCATAAATAATTTTCTTTAAGGATGTGATCATCATATCTCTTTTTTTCCTCTTTTTTTTAATGTTCGGGTTTTTTTCTTCGAATGTTATTTGACCTGATAGCACAATCTAGAGAGGCAGGATTACTGTAGTTGCTGGCTAGAAGAGATTTATCCATGACAGCTATTGGAATGGACCTGACGAAACCGATACCTTCTTAAAAGTTTATGTTTATGATAAGGATAACCTTGGCCGAAGATATCACACACACTACATGATGTGTGAGTTTGTCTATTCTAACGATCCTCGAGGTTTGATAGTGATTGAAGAGAGCAATAACTTTTAAGGAACGTCATATCTTAATTATATAATCTGAATAGTAAGGAACTTACAGATGTATTAAACTGTCTTGAAAGGTCACGATGTGTTTACGATATCGTAGGTTTCATTAGACACGATTGCCCTTTACATATTCGCTCTGAGAAAAGTTATGAAAGGAAGATTCATTTCTTTGACAAATATCTTGAATTGAAATTGAACGTCCAAAAATTTATCTTCATCAAATGTATATTTAATAAAAAGAAATGCATAGATGGATGTAACATTGTTCACGTCATATCTTGTTGATCGTCTATATGTAAACAAGGTGCACGGTTGCACGGGTGACGCTGCTCTTCCATTTCGCCAGGCGCGCAACGCCCCAATACGCAGACACGTTTGCGGGATATCGTGCCCTCACCGCAGGTCACAGAACATTCGCTCCATTTACCCCATCGACTCCACACTTTACGCAGTTTCAAACTTTCCTCAGAGGCTTCTGAAAACGTTTTTTTTTTGTTTTTACAATATTTCAATTAGGGTTTCTTGTTTTATGGTAACAACCAATGATTTAAATTAGTATTTATCTGTGCGCGTGTTTTAAAACAACAAGAATAACGGGTTGAAAAATCGAAATATTAAAAAAATGACTATCTCGTATAATTATTTTTTATATTTCCAGGCTATGTAAATTAAACTAATCTTAACTATACTTTAACACGCTTTTAGATTTCAAAAGAGTATTATTGTTTAAATACGAATATTCATTTTTTGGAAAAAGATTGTTTAGTTTTATACATGACTTGTACATGATTAGTCTTACTTTTGTTGTCGATATCATCAACTGTTTGTAGTTTTAAAGTTGTTTTTGTACTATGATTATTATAAGATTTTTGGTATATACGTAAAAATGGTAAATTTCTTTTTAATCTTGCTTTCCTTAAAATTTTATAGACGTCGTCGGAATTGAAGCCGGTTTCATAACAGCCAACTATACTTATACTGGCAACTAACAATATTATAAGTAACTCGGTACAAAATGGGCCCAACATCAATTTCCTTAAAATTATTATTATCTAATAGCAATAAATATTTAATATTTTTGTATAAAAATGAAAACAAGGTTAGATCTGAAAGTAACATATGATGTCTTAAACTGACAGACAACTCGTCAATTTCATTTTTCCAATTGACACATAAAATTATAAAATATTCATCTGAACAAAAGAGTTCTATTAATATATTCAAAATCTATGGTATTATTTTGTGGTAAATAATTTCTAATAAAATTCTAACAATATTTTTAAACATGGTTGATACAAATATTTTTAATACTTTGATGAATTGTTGAGTAATATGACAGGACAGATAATAATTTGTTGTTTTTTCTGAATTGTTATTGTATAAATTAGTTATAGTTAATGACAAATGTCGTGGAGATTGATAATTTTTAATATTGTATATAAATATATTTTTTAAAAAGAGTTTTCCACCGATACCACCGATATATTGACTAAGTACGTACATATATGTCATGTATGTAGAAATTATTATCTATGTGTGAATTTAGCATATCATATAGAGTCCGAATTTTAGTTTAACTTTCAGTAAGTAATGTAAAAATAATTTATAAATGAGCTTTACGATATTCAACCCCACAGGAGGTACAAGGAGAGTTGTATGAACGATGAAAATTTTAAATTTCTGTATTTTACGCCATGCGAAGCGGGAGGGTTATTTTACCGGTAACTGTCAGTAGACCAATAAGATAAATTATAAAATCTGAATGTAATGGAAGTATGATTGAAATTAACATATGTTATAAAAAATAATGAGAAACAAGCTAGATGTGTGATACAATGTTTATTTTTAAATGATGATTACTGATTAGGATAATACAATTCTGAATATATAGTGACAAATGTGTTTATAATTATGTAAGCAAAACAGTAAAAAGTTGTCATTTATACATACGGCATATTTTAAATTATCTAATGAAATAACTTAATTGTGGTAAGATTTTGGGATGACATTCAGTTTTTTGTTTACATTATACAGAAAAGTTATTCTAGGAACATCTATTGAACATACATTTATATTTTATATTAGAGTGCTGGGGACGAAATAAGTAATAAGTTTGGTTGATGTTGCTTAGCAAGCGTGTCCTAATAGGAACTCACTGCAGTCTGATTGTATTAAAGAACAAAAATAAACCATCAATCAATTGAAGAATATTAAAGTACACTAAACTGAGATCCGTACATAACACACATTTAATATAATAAAATTCAATCAGACTTTATAGTCAGTTCATTGCCTCAGTGAAACCTTGTTTCACTTCCATTAAGAAATATGAATTTCTATTATAATAACGTAAATTAAATTAAATATGTAAGATAATCTTACTTCATCCAAAAATAAAATATGATATAGTTAAATATATATTTTATACACTTCAACATAACATTGTATGTTAAAAAATACATAACAAATAAGAATATTAAGTATATAAAATGTATCAAAAAGCACTTTAAAGGGCAGGTGTACAAAGATTATGACTTTTAATATGTATTATACTATAGTTATACTTAGAAAATAGTTCATTATACTACTTAATCACTACACCATTTATATTTTTTAAAAAGATTTCGTATAAAAACTTTTTATATAAACATAATAAAACATAATTAAAGACGATATATATCTTAAAATTAACTTTAAATAATGGCACCGAAACTATCACTTTTTATATAACATAAACTGAATAGTGCTTGACTTTCTTTCCACGAGACGGTTTTAGTTTTAGTTTAATCTTATATTGTTAATATTTATGTTGTAGTAATCTACAAATATAAATTATATGGAAGTTTCAGACATAACAAAAATAGACAAGAACATCAATATGTATGTATTTATATCTAGTATTGTACATAGTACAACAAGGTCATATTCAAAACTGTGTTTTTACCATCGTAAGTTTTTTAATGATCATTACATGATTATATGCATATTTCAATTTCCAAAAGACATATATAGAGATTATTAAATCTGCAGCTTAATTGGATTCTTAAGTCAAAGTAAAAATCGAAGAAAATAAATATAAAAAGGAGAATGAAAATTATGTACTCTATCATTTTTACAACAAATAGCCCTCGCCGGGCCCTGTAACCATAACCTTTTGGTACATGTAAGTAAAAGTTCTGTTTACAACCTCTTCTTCCTCAGTTGTGTAGTTAGAATCAGTATAAATAAATCTGTACAAGCCAACAAAACAATACTGAAGAACGAGACATAAAATTACAACTAGGGCCATTTCAACAAAAACCAAAATAATACAAAATGATAATAATTTATCATTTACTTCAGATTTCAGACAGTTTTATGTTAAATAAAATAAAATTATGTACAATCATAAAGGGCACTAAGTAAAATAAGTTATATCTTTCATTTATTCAACAGTTACAAAATGTAGTAAAAGTTTTTCAAATGTTAAAAAATTTAAGGCCAAAGTTATTAGTATTTTCACAGCTATAAAACTGTCTGTAAATGTATTTCCACTCGTATATAAGTTGCCACTTGAAGGAGTAAACGACACTCACGTATAGAAGACTATAAATTTTAACTATTAGGTTCACTGTCCTCTTTTAATTCAGTATACTTTTATGTGGATGCAATACCAATTATTTCACTGTTGTTTTTCCATTTCTTTTAATATAATTGTCTCCGATATTGTTTGTAGTGTAAATTCCAAAATTCATCCTGAAAACCAAGTAGGGTTTATGGGTTAATTTGGAGTTTAAAATTGTAGCTGATGTCTATTGAGAGTCAAATATATTGAAAAAAAGGGTAATATGTCTCCGATTTTTTTTTGTAGTATGAGAGTATTATTTTTAAAAGCAGTTTAACATATTAATCATATATTATCAATGAAATCTTCTACTCACCATATTTTTTTCTTATCTCAACCAGGCACAATGTAGATTGCGTAGTTTGTGGAAGGATAATGATAAAGCAGCTGCGCATGTACTGAATCTCATCTTACAGAGATCGATTTTCCTACTACATATGTACATGTTAAACTAGTATGCATAACACAGTGTACCAGATTGAATCTTATATGCAATACATCCTGATATAACTAACTATTCTAACTGCGCATGTCTGAAACATTTAAATCGATGCAGCTGTCTGCAAATATTTCTTTTTTTTCTGATTATCCTTTTTTGTCATTGCTAATATGACGCGTAGATAATTTAATACAAATACAATTAATTCATTTTATCTTATTCTATAAGAATAAGGCTTTTCGATCAATTGACCTTTCATTAATTTAATTTATTGATATATTTGCGATGATTGAGAATTCATCAGACAGATTCAACAATTAAATATTTGATTGCATTACCCATTTCATTTGGCTATTGAAAATATTTTTATTATGAAATTCTCAGTCGCTTTGGGTAATTTTCTGTACAAAATAATTTGTTTCAAGCTAATTATTATATGTATATCTATGTGGAAATTAAAAATATATACAGTTAATGTTATCATGATAAGGCTTTTTAATTTAATAAAAGGTAAAATTATTTAGAAACACCCATCCGACTATGTATATTAATAAATATATATTCAGTCTGAACGTCTTGTCGAGAAGTTATTAAAAACCTTTGGGTTATATGTAACTCGATAACAGCGATTGCGGCTTTATCAAGTAACTGTTGTTTTGTTGGAAACTTATTCTTGTATTAAAGCTCAATGAATTTCTACACATTATTTGTTCAGTAGTAGGATAGGGTACGGTTGCTATCAGTAAACATTACTTTGATTTTATTTATTTAGTTGCTAGGTTTTTTATAAATAGAATTTAGCGTTTCCCTTTTTACTGAAAAAAACAATCCGATTCACATGCTTTTCCGATTTAAAGCTTCTGATTTTTTATTATATTTCAAAAAAAGCGTTAAGATAAACAATTTTTCTACCATGCAGTGCTTTATGTGAAAGTATCGCTATATGTTATCTGTAAGCAGGGCTTTATAATTTTAACGGGCATATTTATTTACAACATAGCAAATGTTTTTATTTTTTATAAGTTAAGTAACAAAACTTCCATCTCATCTCACTCACATGTAACAATTTTTTAATGTAATTTGTCTTTTTGCATATTCAGCATATAAAAAAATCGAAGGTGTTTCAAATTAAAAACACAGAACATTCACCACTTAGCGTAGCTTTTAATTTTGTTGTTCGCGATTAGTCTATGATTATTACAGAACTAAATATGGATAAAATAGCACAGCATTTTGATAATATTTTCATTCGCAACTTAGTATGGTGACAATTGCATAGGAATATAAAATACAAAATTGAAGTACGTAAATTCCATTATAATATGTTTAGATAGTACCTGAACACTTTGTTTGCATAATATTACTAGTTATTATTTTAAGTTAAGATTATGTAATATAACAAATATTTACATAACAAGTTTGAAAGTTATAATAAGTTTAAAAAGTCCTTACTTTAGTAATAAAATTGTAAAAAAATAGAAAGTGTAAAATATAAAGTTTACAAGATAAAATTTAACAATACGAATTTCTTAAACTTATAGATCTATAATATTATATAAAAGAATGGATTGAAAGAGATTAATGACTCGAATGAATTGTATGAATGCATTTAATTAAGATGTTAGTTTTTATGCGGTCCTTTGTTATCTTTCTATGAAATAAATTTATTGATGTAGCCATTATCTTTAGAGGTTTATTTAAATGATTCGAAAGTTTGATCAATGTACTTTCCCAATATTAAAATTCTAACTAAAACAATATTATACATAATTCATTTTCAATAAAATGAATAGGACTTTCTAGATTTTCAAATTACAGACGGTATATGTACAGCTTTCTGTCATTTTCTCAAGTAATTTACAGAGAAATATTTCTTCCTTAACAGAATAATTATAATTATCTATACAAAACATTGACTTTTGCCAAAATCTAATATAAATGAAAACGTCAATGTTTACATATTCATAGATGAAGACTTCTTTATCATAACTACTATGAAATACAGAATAAATAGACATACAAAATTAAATACATATTTATTGAGTTGCTCAATGTTGTCTCATGCATACTAGAAAGCTTGGCAACCCAATGCATCCCTCCGTGTTCCTTAAAAATAAAAAGACAAATTAAACTTTTATTCCTAAAGTCGATTTTTAAAAAGTAATAATATAAAAGAAAAGTGTATACCTGAGTTGTGAAATTACAGCGTCATTAAAGTATTTCTCACTGGCCTCTTTGTAGATGAAAAAACAAAAATAACTAATATGTTATTTGTGTCCTTTTAAAAAGGAATGTGAAGGTGAAAAAGTTTTTTACTGATTAAATAAATAATTATAACGTACCAACGCAAACAAATGTGAAATTTTTAAGCATGTTTCTTTCAGATAATTTTTGAAAAACATACTCCATAGCTGTCATAGTTCTAAACTTGATCAAAGCTCTAAAATCATCGGGATCTTGAAGAGCACTTTTAGTAGATTCACTACGGAAGCACCTCACACCATGCTGTAATTATTAAGAAATAATATATTTGCAAGTATCTACATTATAAAGATACATTATACGATTCATACAAGAACTAAAATATTAATTTTAATATTAATTTCTACCTTTTGTCTAAAATACTTTTTAACTTCTGGATAGAACCATCCGCCTTGGAAATATGATAAAAACATATAATATCCGGCCTTGATATTTTCTCTTCCAACGCTCAGGATTACGGATTCATTCTTATCGCCGTTTGGAAAGCCTTCAATTATAGCACTTGATACAGTACCGTTGGAGGTGTCAGAGTCATCGTATGATTCTTGATAATAAGGATCATGAATTTTTGCATATTGTCTGAATTGATAACTTTCCCATTTCATCTTGTAATCTTCCAGCATCAATTTCATTAATGGTACGTAAGCTCTCACATAATCGAACCAAACATCCATTTCTTGCTCCTCATATTTGTTCAAACAATCCAATAGGAAAATGTGGTTCTGTTTTACATTAGATCCTCGTGATGAATCCTCTTCATCGCTAGAAGAACTGTAATCATCTAGAACACAAACTTCAGACTCCATGATTAAATTTTATATCAATTTATCCGTATCTTTTAACCAACTTTTATTTCCGAAAGAAATAATCTTATCCCTTTTATATATTTTGTCTGTCATTGACACACCTATAAAATGTTTTTGTTTCAAATTGCAGTAGTAACGATCCGTTCGTGACTAGCCTAGGGATGCATTTTAAAAGCTCTATTGCGCTTGTGCCAAACCTTATGGATAGTTCAAAAGGTCACCGCACTACGTCAGCACATCTGCTGAATGTGAATATAGGATTTATCGTTTTTATTATCTCCCGGGAACACTCAATACGCGGAGTATATGTTTATATGATATATAATATGTTTATATGGTACTCGAATACACACAGTATTAGAAAATAAGGCATTTTAAAATTTTCCATTCTTTGTTATTTCTTAAACAACTTTCTTGTGATCAAAATTTTTGAACTTTGATGAATAATATTTGTTAGACTATAATTAATGTAAAATATATATAGAAAGAAAAAATGCCTGATCTTTAATTAATGAAAAATCACAAATCCCTTACTGAATAGATATTTAAGACTCGTGAAACGATTCTTAAAATAACTGTTAAATAAAGATTATTAATTTGTTTTGGGTCTATGCTTTTTTTTTGTTATCATACATCTCTATTAATAGTTTTTTCATATCTAGATACGCGGCAGCTTGTCAAGCTAAGTGCATGCCCACCAACGGCTAGCCATCGCTATTACACAAACCAATGGTGTCTGGTGTCACTTTTAACTCCTCTACGAGTATAAACCAAAACCTTTTTAAAGTAAGCACATAAAACTACGCCTGTTTACTTATATATAATATATATTATATACAGGGTGACTGGTTAATTACTATCAATACTTGGGGACGTGATATTTGAGGATCATATATGACAAAATAAAAATTAATATAACATAAATATTAATAAACTTCTAAGTAAAGTTAACCAAAAGTTATGTAATTAATTACGCATGGTGTGAACACCCTACAGATTAGGTATACACACACACTCACACATACGCGTCCGTCGGCGTAGTGTTGTATCAGCACGCCGCCGCACGCGTCCACACTTGGAACACATGGAACGTGTCAACACTTTATTTATTTATACGGAAATTTTGTCAAAAATTAAGTGCCTATTTTTTTTACATAATTCGAATGAGAATCATGTACCGAGTATGCTCCTTAAATATTGATAGTAATTCACCAGTCACCCTGTGTATGAGGAAATGAAGAAGAACAAATTTCATGAAGCTAGCCATACAGTTTATTAAGATATGAAGATCGAAAAGTCGTTCATTTTAACACTGACTGACTGGCTGACATATAGTTTAATCTACTTCCAGATGATCCAGAAGAAAGAAATTTGGAACCACTCTTGGTGATTGTATGTAAGCGTAGGAAAAAAAAGCGTGGAAAGAAATTTTTCACAGTTGTCATTTTAAAAAGTTTTTCAAAATTTCAAACCTGATAAAAACTGGCCAAGTCATATCTAACCTAACGTTAAGATCTCAAATTTTTAAATATCAATTGTTATTAGAGTCAACAAAGCAAAGAAACTGAATGTAATACTTGTTTATAATGTTATTTTGTTTAAAGCACATATCTTTTTTGTTTATCTTGGTAGTGTTGTTGTATGTAGTTTATCTTGTAGTGGTGACAGTAAAAGTAACTATCGCCCATGCGTCAACACATCAGCAAAGGAAAGAGTCAATGGGTCTATTTGTTCAGACTTTTATGTATGTTACATGCGACCATAAGTCTAAATGTCCGCTTTCTTTGTCAAATATCTGTTAGACCATTCACTGTCCATGAAGCACTATTCCTAACATTCCAGTGACGTTATTATGTTGAAAATAATTATATTGGGAACCGTGTATTTTTCAAAGAATATTATTTTGTCAGCAATAGAGAAGAGGTGTCCATTATTGATCAATGAACTTTGTTATTTATTCTATTATATAGCAATAATTTCAAAATAATTATGCACTGTTTCTGGTTCGGTTTTAATTATTTACATGCTCATTATATTTTTACCGGCCATAGATTTTTTGTTTTCACTGAAATAAAGAAAAATGGATGGGAAATAATGTTTTGGCTTTTTAAAGATATGTAGTTTATTACTTTGTAACGATCCGCTAAGGTTTATGTATTATTTATTTTAACTAAATATAGTTATTTATAACCTTACGTTATATGTAATAATAATAATTTTATTGATCAAAAGACAATGTCGATGTACCAAAATTATTTTAGGCATATATTTTTCTTCCGTTAATTTTACGCTTCCAAAATTTTTATGACTAAAAACTGAAAACATTAAGCACAGAGCACAGTTTTAATATTCGCAGCTTTTCTACATTTATAACAACGTAGGCATTTCCTAAATAATTATATAAAATAGCTTGAGTAATGCATTATACATTTATTTTTTCGCAATTTATTATAGCGGCATTGCATACATAAATGAAATACAACAGTAAATAACAATAAAAAACCACGGTAAATATTCAAAAACATTATACTTATTAACGTACATATATGAAAAATACTAAAAACAATGACCTTAAGTAATGGTTACGATAAAGTGCTTGAATAATGCTTATATTTACTTAGTTACTTACTATTAAATGTTTGGAGTATAAAATGGCTCCATTACTTAAAAAGGGAAACAAGTACCAAAATTGATAATGTAGTAAAATTAATACTATATAAAAATATTTTTTTTCATCCACTAACTGGTGGATTATATGAGCAATAAAATCGTTAAAAATACAAAACAAGTCCTGTATACAATTTCTCAATAAAATGTTGCAAAAGGATAGGGTACTAGTACAATTATAATAATACAATTATAATTTATATATGGAATTCAGTTCCTTATGAGTTAAGTTTAAAACATTTCTCAAACTTGGGAAATAACTCTAAAAACAATTAATTCTACTAAGAAAATGTATTTAACCACTGACGGAGTCTCGTCAGAATAGTTTGAAACATTTAATAATTTAAATATTTCATTAGTACAAATGTACTGTTATTATTCTAATACAATACTTTAGATTTAAAATTTAATGTTATCAGTGACCAATACACTTTTTTAATTAAATCATATCACATTGAAAATTACAAAATCTTTAAATTTTTAAAAGATTATTTCCAAAGAAAGGTTTTCAATTTCGCAATATCAATAAAAATAGTTAAAAATATACACTAAAAATAATTTATATATAATCATACAATACCAAAAAAAAAAATTGTACAAAGACTTTTTTGTCACAATTTCTTTAGAATAATATGTAATCAACAGACCTATTAAAAGTTTAATAAGGGTATTTTATCAAACCCCTTGTTGCTTAATGTTTCATGCAGACGAAGAAACTCGGCAATCCAATACACCCTTTCGTGTTCCTGGAAATAAGAATATTTTTTTTTATATTCTAGAAAAGGCTTTCAAATAAGAAGTGCACGAGATAAATACCTCAGTTTTGAAATAACTGCATCATTGAAGTATTCCTCACTGGCATCTTGTTAAACAAAAAGAAATTAATAAAAAGGATAATTCTAAATATATAATTCTTGTTTTTCTTTGCGAGGGGAAGTTTCATAATAATAGAAATAACTAAACGATAACATACCAACGCAAACAAATGTGAAGTTCCGAAGCATGTTTTTTTCGGATAATTTTGCAAAAACATCCGCTCTTGCTTTCACAGTTCTAAATTTGATTAAGGCTTTATAATCGTCAGGACACTTTAGTGAATTTTTAGTAGTTTCACTCCGGAAACATCTCACACCGTGCTGGAATAATAAAAAAGAAAATAGTTTGAAATACTCTCATATTCTCACAATACTCTCACATTCTCACAAGACATAGATATTATATTTGTACCTTTTGTCTGAAATATTTCTTTACTTCCGGATAGAACCATCCGCCTTGGAAATATGATAAAAACATATAATATCCCGCCTTGATATTTTCTCTTCCAACGCTCAGGACCACGGATTCATTTTTATCGCCGTTGGGAAAGCCTTCAATGATAGCACTTGTTACAGTACCGTTGGAGGTGTCAGAATCTTCGTCTGATTCTTCGTAATAAGGGTCATTAATTTTAGCATATTGTTTGTATTTATAACTCTCCCATTTCATCTTATAATCTTCTAGCATTAATTTCATTAAAGGCACATAAGCCCTCATATAGTCGAACCAACCATCCATTGGGTCTTCTTCATATTTTGCTCTTTTGTTCAAGCAATCCATGGGACAAATGTGCTTTCGTTTCAAATGAAGTACTGGTGGTGCCTCTTCTTCATCACTAGATGAACTGTAGTCATCCAGCACATACACTTCAGAATTCATGGTTTAGTTCTAGATATTACAATGTGAAAGTTTTCTTATGTCACTTTTAATTCCTAAAAGTCCAATTCCAATTTTGTTTTCAATGGTCTAGCACCATGTTTCAAAGATTGCTGAAAGTATATTAGTGCTGCAATAGTTGAGACGATTTTATAGCCATTTAATAAAAAAAACCCTACGGTAATGATGAAAGAATCTTAATAAATCTTATTTCAGAAAAAGTCACTTTAAAGGATTTTTTTTCATTTTGCATTATAAAGGTACTACGTATTAAATGGTTTAGGAAATACGATTATGTCCTACCCGATGATGGAAGTTAAATTATGTTGTCACTTTGAAACTCTGACAGCTATTATCGATCAACCACCCCTGTACCAGATTTAGGAATATTACAAGATGTTACAATTTTTAATATTTACTTATGAAAGTATTGTATTATGAGTCGTTGCTGACCGGGTGATGGTGACTAAGAGCTCTCAGTATGAGAAGAAATGGTATGACTTAAAATATATTTTCGTTTACACAAAATAGTTTTGATATGTTTTTGTGAATTTGTTATTTTTTTATTTAAAAAGTGTCAACGTAACTTTATGAATGAAAAAGTGGAAACGCTCCGTACTTAGTGTTGCGATGGAGAAATGTAATACCGCACTATAATAACCAACTGTTGGTAGGTTCATATATTTTTATCTCATTTTTTTATCAATTTTTGTGAAGATTAAGTAAAAAAGTTTCACCTTAATTTATTATTTGGGTTTAATATAAAACCCAAACTACTTAATAAAAAAAGTATAGAATTAAAAATAACTATGAAACATATATTACTGTTCTATTTATGAATAAAAATATTTATAAAAATGTATCCATAAGATAAATAATATTCACCACAAAGTTAAAAAAATCATTTGAAACCTTGGATTAAAATCAAAGAGCTTTTAATATTTTTATGCAATCACATAAAGCCTGTATGTATAAAATACTTATAGATTTGGGTTAAAGCATAACTGTATGTATACTTACACCTCTATGACTTTCAAATGAAAGAGCACCATTCACTTTAAACCAAGTAAAAATTTTATTCCGATTTACTTAGCTTTAATATAGTATTTCTCAATGGTATATTTTGGTTATTTGGCCGAGTATGCGTTTTACTGTAAGTTGTATTGCGCTTGTGCCTAGTCAGAGGATGGTATTGATTTACGCCGCAGGGCGGCGCCACTGTTGTTGTCAGGGTTTTTTTAATTGCAACACCTACATATTTCTGTGAACGTCCTAGTTTGAGCTCAAAATAATTAGATCTAATAATTTGAATGTATTTCTTATACTGAAATGTATTGTATACTTGTGATTTGTAATAGTTTAAAAAGAAATCTTTTTTTATTCTGTCCACAAAATGCCTTTTAAAATTATAAGTTTTGCACCAGTTCCATTCCTAACGGTTAATATTAAAAATATATAACAAATGCGTTTCCTATATATATATATATATATATATATATATATATATATATATATATATCATATATATCATATCATAGGAAATATATATATATATATATATATATATATATATATATATATATATATATATATATATATATATATATATATATATATATATATATTTTTCCTATGATATAACATATTTTTGAAATTTAAAATAAAGTTTACAATGTTTTAATTTTTTTTTTGTTGGTGATCTAAAACGAATTTTTCCCCACTACCTTCTTTATTTTGGTACTAAAAAATTATGTTGCAATTTAAATAGTATTAATATTTTTGACAAACATTATTAAAAATGAGAAGTAGTTCCAATAACTTATTAATGTATTTTCTTTATTAACATTTATGTTTATTATTATTGTTAATTTAAAATTAAAGGTCCAGAATGAATAACCAAAGAAATAATAAATGTTGAAAATCTTACTCTTAATATATTTTATTTATCTGATCTGAATACTATCAAAATTTAATAAGTGGAGACTAAGAAACTGTTGCTTTATTTATTATTGACTTTCGGATATTAATATCAGAATGAATTTAGTAGCAATTATTGTTTAATAGATCATTAGGTATTTATTTGTTAAATTAAAAAAAAGATGATAATCAAAAGAATATTATTAAAAATTAATACACAGCAACACAAATGTGATATTGAAACATATGTTTTATTGTTAATTTTTATTTAATAAGATAATCAACACTTATACCATTCAAATACACGGAAAACACTGAATTATTGCATAGAAAACACTCAATAGTTGATCATCGGTTATATTTAACTCTAAAAATTTACTAATGAAGTAACACTGACAGATAAATTAGTATTTTTATATTAATGTAATATATCTATATAATATCTTTTTCATTCTGATACAAGTCAACCTATAACGGTTTATTTACAGAAGAGAACAACATAAAATATAGAGATTGTTAAAGAAACCGAAATTAAGCATATTGAAATGAATGACTATGAATAATTAACTTTGAATAAGTAATTATATAATAACACAATATATGACGCATATTTAATATATGTAGATACAATTTAAAAAAATTATGAGTAAATTAGTTTATAACACTGACTTCTTTAAGGATATTTTTATACAAGTTTTTTACTTCATAGCGACGAGGAATGTTGGTAAACCGACGCATCCCTTTGTGTACCTTTATCAAATTGAAAATAAAATTAATAATAAAATATATTATTCTCTTTTCAGACAAAATATTACTGTACTATATTAGGAATCTTACCTGAGCTGCTTAATCACCCCATAATTGAAGTAATTCTCATCAGCGTCTTAAAGGACAAAAAGTTATAGAAAACTACATGAGAAGGTGTCTATTCATACGAATTTATGATACGAGAAATCGTTCGTCAAAGGGTTTAAAAATTTAACTTAATTTATTGTCAGAATTGGGAAGCATTTTAAAATCTTATATGAAAACTTACCAACACAAACATATTTGAATTGATCAAGCATTTCGTTTTCAGATAACATGGTAAAAACATCCGCTCTAGCTTTCGCTGATCTAAATTTAATTAAAGCTCGGAAATCATCTTGTTCCGTTAACGCTTTATTGACAGTTTGGCTACGGAAACAGCGTAAACCCATCTGGATCAGGAAAAGATGTTTACATAAAACAGACAATGATATAAAATATATGATAACATAAAAATATATCAACTTGCCTGAGTTTTTAGAAATCTTTTGACGAGGGGGTAGTTCCATCCCCCCTGGAAATATGATAAAAACATATAGTATCCCGGTCTAATGCTTTCCATATGATTATTAAAGCTATGAGTGTGAACTTCGTCAGAGTTAGGAAAACCGTCTACTATGCTACTTGTAACGCTACTGTTGGAGTTGTCGGAATCGTCTTCCGACTCCTGGAAGTTTGCGGCCATTCGAGAACGACGTTTGTATTGATAATGATCCCATCTGAATTTATATTCCTCTAGCATCAAATGCATCAAAGGAGTATAGGCTCTCATATAATCATACCAAGAATTCATTTCTTCTTCGAAAGAAGCAGGTTTTTTTTCAAAGAAGTTCAGGTAGCCCAATGAATAAAGACTTCGGCGCTCTACCGATGGAGCCGCTTCTTCGACGGGAGCTTCTTCCGCAGGAGCAATCCGAACTGCTATAGGATGTTGAACATCTAGCTCATCACTCGAAGATATGGAATCATCCATTTCTGTGTAAACTCCTGAATCAAAGGAGTCAGAATCCATTAGATATTTTTTTTATTTTCTCCTGTAATGTCAATATTATAATCAAGCGATATCTTAACTAACATAAAAGTAATAATTATAATTATTAAATTGTACTAATCATACTTATCAAAACAAACTACTTGGCACTTATTCAAATATTTGCAATAAAATTGTATCTGTAGCTGATAATGATCGCTGTCTGAATAGGTCAGGGATGTGTTATATAGGTTTTAATGCGCTTGTGCCGAACCTTACTCATAGTTCCATGCTTCACCGCCGCATGTCACTACTATTGCTGTAGTTTATGTATACAATTGCATGTATGTTAATATTTCATTCCATTAGATTAATTAGCTTACTTTCATTTAAAATGTACTAACATATTATTATGTAACGTAATTCAATTTAATTCCTTTTTAAAGAAAACAAAATTCTAACAAGACTGTGTTACTGAAATTAAAGTTAATTACAATAGTAATAACAAAATTAAGTAACAGGAGCATCAGAGAAGAAAACAATTGATAAATCCAAATCTTATATGCGAACAACTAGTGACAAGTTTATTTAACTTAAATTTTAACGTGGTATTGATTTTACTTGATAAAACTCAAACGTATTTTATAGCCTATACCTTAAATAATCTAATTTGAGTGTGATGTAGAAAAAAATCATAATACCTAACGGTAAATGAATATAAATAATAAACTAAAAGCTGGATACTAGCACACAGCCTCGTAAAGTAAGATAAAGGAATACCTTAACTCAAATATTGCCTTGTTTTATTGAAATCGTTATTAAAAAGATACTAATTTTTAATTTCGTTAATTTAACATTAAATTAATGAAAAACTTAAACAAAACGGTCATTCAAATGCCATCACGATTTTATTTATTTATATGATGTTTATTGTTGTTTTATCAAAATATAAGAAACTATTTAAAAATCCCTTTTTTTAAAATCACACTTTAAATTTCTCTAAGATTAGATCAAAGTATAATTTAAATCACCAAGCAGTGGTTAAAAATCAAGTGGTAAGATTTCGATGTTAAGCAATGGCTACTATATTAAAGTAATGTTAATATTTAATAATATAGGAATTATAGTACTAGTTATTTGTACACAGAAACAAGATATAGAATATATGTAGTCGTTATGATATCGGTTTTAAAAGTAGTTTCAAGAGTAATAAAAAAAAGTAAGAGTAATTTACACCGGTACAATTTCTTATTAAAAGGTATTGAAAATTTTAAATACCACTTTTAAATACTGTCCTCTTATGCTTTATAGATATTAACAAATCTATCCACTATATGGTGTAAAAATTGAATTAGTCACACCTCGTTTTTTGTAATTTAATTTTACAATATATTGTGTTCAATTCATTTATGTTCTTCATTATAATGTGATTTGTTTGGTATAGCTTGAAAATTTTAGGAAAGTTATAAGGTTCTTTAAATGATAAATATTAAAAAAATCTTCAGGGTAGTTAAGTTTCAAAGAAGAATCACATTACAGGAAAGCATTCTGAGATGGATCAACACAAATTACCGTTTTATGTTTTATCTTCTGTATCTTTTCATTTTTAATTACGGCATTCACAATTTTTTTCTGTTATATTTAATATTAAATCACTCTGCAATACTATACATTACATCTCCATTTGTTGAACCTGTAAAAGTAATTCTTGAACTGTCAATAAACATTATAAAATTAAAACACTTAATGCACATAACACCATTTATTAATGTTTTCAATGTCACAAAAAGAATTTGTAAAAGTTAATTAACAATAAAGATTGTAATTTTTTTATATAATGTTGTTTTTAATAATAATAATTACAACAGAAACTTTACGTATGTATGTATGTAGGTTTGTTTTGAACATATTTAATACTATACTAACAAAAAACTTGAGATTTTTCCACCAGAAACAAATTAAAATGAAATAATAACTCAACCACACCACTTGACTACACAGTTGTAAATTTAAAAATAAAATAATTGTATGTATTGTAACCATTTTTATATTTTCAAGGACTTACACCAATTTAACACTGGGAATAATGAACTGTGATTAAAGTCGTTAAATCAAAGGTAATTTGTAGTCAAGTTAATCTTTGAGTGTTAAAAATTATATAAAAATTAATTTAAATGAATTCCAAAAATGTATTTTAAGTGACATATTTTATCCCTACAAATATGAATTAGAAAATAAATACTTAGGCCATTATTACTAAACAACGATGACTACTTTAATACGCTATAATATTGGTCACACAGATATTATGAGAAATCAACCATTTATAGTATTGTTCTTACATACAAAGACAGCTAAGATTTTACATCAAAGTACAATTTTACATAAAATGATATTTAAAACATTTTGATTTCTATTTACTTAAAAGTCACGTTACTCTTAATCACTACATACACTTAATTTCGGGATATATCATTAAGATGTCTTCAAAGAAGGTGTTGTAGGTTAAACATGGATCTTACCATTTAAAAGGGGACGTTAGCTACTTTGGACATATCAGATCAAATTCAATTTTTATGAATTGATCTAAAATAGTACAGCGAATAAAAAATTCAATGTAGGCATAATTTAAACAAACACATGCACTCACACGTACACCAATACACTGATAAACTTGTATCAATTGTACAATATTTAAATAGTTTCAATGGTAGAGTTAGTCAGAAATATAAAGAAAAAATAACGGACGGAAATAAAGTCTAGTAGATATTGAACCATTAGAAACCACTCATAAACATCAGCTATTCATCCAAACACTGTTAAGAAAATTAATTTTATGTCATGTTATTCTACTTAGCTTTGTAGAACTGAAATATAATGAATGCACAATAATACTGGTGTAAAGAATATTGGCACTCGAGATAATTTTGAAACAGTAGGATTCAAGATTAATAGTTTTTATATAGGATATCAAAAAATATCTAATCATTTATATACCTTAATTATTTATAGTAGATACACAATATGGTCACAATACTTTAGACTTGGTCTAAGATTAAAAATTTTTTAAATACAATTTTTAAGTTTACATAACAATTTAGATATAAATAATATTGATTAAATAAACGTATATGATATAGTCACCTAAATAATTTCGTTCAAATAATCACAGTCTAAACAAAGTATAGTTTTTTGTTTTATGAACTTCGTGAATAAGGTCTATCATATAAAATTAACGACCGGTCACGATACTTCTACATGTATATGTCCTTAGTAAAAAATTACACTACTTAGGTCTTTGGAATATGTATTACTACGTTTATCCGTGGAGTGATGTTAAATTTAATAAATTTATTGGAGAGCTATGACTTGGTATGAGATACATTCTAAGATGGATACAAAGTAATAAGAACAAATTCCCTAAAATTTTTGCTAAGTCCTAATTATATAAATAAATATCTAAGGAAAAAATATTTTATACAATTTATATTTTAATATTTTATGCGGTTATAGCATATATCAAAGCATATCGTACGGTATTTGTCAACTTTAAACTAAATACGAGAATAGATGTTAGAATTGACTTCGGATTTTTAGATTGGAAGCAATGTAAAAAATAGAAAGTTTAATCAGTGAGCTACCAATATTTTAATTATGTTACATAATTAACTATATCTAACAGTGAGAACAGTGATATTTTAAATTGGTAATAATATACACCAAGTCTTTTTAATTTACCTATTCTATTTTAAATAAGTAAAAATGACCCGTACTTATAATTTCCTGTTACAAGAATAAAGAACAAACTCTAAGCAAAATTGTTTAATTTAAATGAAATGGAACTATTTAGTTCCATAGAATTCACAATAAACTACCACTTTAAAATTGTGCTATTAAATTAGTAGTTTCACACAACACCTTTTCACTAAATAATATCTTACAATATTGAATATCATTAAACATTAAGTCTCAATAATCCAATAAACAGATAAAGCAAAATATATCACGGAAATTACATTTTACAAATTGTTTAACAACATATAATCCAAAATAGAAATCTTTTATATATATTATATAATAACAATAGAAATATTCAAATCCTGCAGATTTTACAATAAGTATTTTAGCAATACTAAATAGGAAGTTACCCATCTTCTACTGAATAGTTCATATAATATTTGTAAGATAGTAGGTATATAAACTATTTTCAAGATGTTTTTGAAATCGCAAATTTTATGGATATTTTATATTAACATATTATGGATTTGGCTGTAAAGGAAAGTGGTATTAACTTCGGCAGGATTTAAATATAAAAAAACCTGTATAAAGTGCATTCCCCAATAAGATATTAAATATATTTTATACATAAACTTATCTCTATATTTACAAGAAATAAGTTAACTTATTAAATCATTCTTAGTTAAAATGAGATTTTTCCTTTGGTTGAGCTTGAGTAAAGGATTTCAAACAAACAAAAAAACGCAGTCCAGTGACCAAGTTTTCATAACACAAGTTATAGGTATGCACACAAAATAGTATATTTATTCTCATAAAATCAACTATACATTAAAATAAGAAAAGAGGAATGATAATTTAATTTTTTACATTTTAAGGTTGATTTATTTGAACATATTTTTGTTTTTTTATGGTTTATAAATGTCTACATTTATAATATAAAGCTGTAACATCTACACAATAAGCTCCTTTATATGATTCGTATAATATAATGTGGTTATATATAACCTTCTTTATGTACAATATTTAAAGAATAGATATATTTGAAAGACGAATTATCATCTTTGGATTGATGTTAATGTAGTCTAGAGACATTTTCAACAATATATTTATTATAATGCGTCTCTGTTATAGACAGTGCTATTTATTTATTTCCCAACGCTTACTTTCTTAATCGTTTATTTATCATTCTTTACAGTTAAAAGAAATATATATTTTGGGTCGTATACATCTATGGAACTCATCGGATAATATTTGTGACAGTTTTAAAATAAATATGTATAATCGATGAGATTTATTTAAAAAGTTTTATCAAATAGTATTCAGAGCTGTAAATATTAAAGCTTAAATAATAATGGACATTAAAAGCTTGAATTACTGTATATTCGTCAAACATTGTTAATGCCTTATCTAAAATAAAACTTTGAAATTTTGTGTTAAGAGATTGATATTAAAAATGTTTTATTTATAAATAAATAAAAAAAATACTTTAAAATCAAGTATGATAGTGTAACAACTGGCTTGGCCATTCTTCGTAAGTCAATTCTATCTAATTATATACACCGTCTTATTTTAATTTTCGTTTAATAGCACGCATAGTATTAATTTTCAAAAAAATGAATTAATACGTCAATTGACAATTCACGCGGCATCTGCATTGGATACATACTCTCGCGTTTGTATCACAACCACGAAAAATGCGATTCACGTTTTTGATATCATTAAATTCGTAAGTAAGTGTAGGCAGATACTTAATTCTGCCAGGTAAAGACGCTGTTTTCATTGTCAGATAAGGTATCAGTCTTACCATAATTAGAAATATCTAAGGTGTCATCGCCGAGATAAAAGTTAAATAAGATAAGAACAAGGTGTAAATCTTTTTCTTCAGAAAATAAATAATTTTAAAAAGATTATTTATAAGTTTTATCGGGGAAAATCAAAACTCTACCTCCAGTTAATCGATAGATTAGATTTATATTGCGTTCATTGGATTTTCAATAATGTGAACTGAGGCTGTTTTTAAACGTGTTTGTTTTCTTTTGAATAAAAAGTCAGCAAGACTAATTGCTCGCCTCGTTTCTGTATCCTGAAGAAGCATTTCGATTGCGCCACTACTTTGTGATTCGGCCACTGGTCTCTTGACATTCGTAAGTGAGGAATTTTTCTTCACCGTCTCATTTTGGAATGTTGCGGTATTGAATTCAGCAGAGTAAGCTTTCGAATTGATTAAAGAGATGACTTCAGGCAGACTTGCTTGATCGGCGAGTGATGATGGGCGTTCTAAGCGTCGTAGTACACGTGCACGTACAGCACTTGCCAGACCCTCTCGAGATAATGAAACGCCATTTGTTAGTTTTGGAGTCATCGACCCCTCCTGGGTTTCTGTAATGTAATTTATTTTAATCTCCAATTTTATTACTACAAATACAATTACAGTTGAGGTGCAACAATCTATAGAAATAATATTTTTTAACCATTACTAATAGTTTAAGTATGTACATATATAAAAATATATTTAGTAAAACATAAGTTAAAATTTGATAAGGTCATGTTCTGCAGGACTATATTTTAAGCAAATAAATATAATATAAATATAGACATAATTGATGTGTTTTAGATTTAAGATTATATACCTTTAGGGATAGAGGATCGTGGTGAAGGTCCATCTTCATCAGTATGACCTTCAGAAAGCGTCTCCAATGGTCGATGATCTTGACGTCGATTATCACTGTCATCTTTGTCGTGACTTTTATCGCTCCCAGCACCAGATGTTGACGGAGTGGGGTTCTGGAAGACACATGTAGAAATTTACATTCACTTTTCCATATATGAATGACAAATCTAAGGAGTTCTTAGATTCATCTTACATTCCTTCTTTTAATCGTAACTCCAAGGTACTTTAATACAATATTTCTGGGCAATGCAATATTTCTGTCAACTTTCCGAGTACCTATATTATTAACAAACTAGCTGACCCGGCAGACTTCGTACTGCCTCAATCAAGAAATAAATTATGTCTTATTTATTTTTTTGCTGTTTACCTTTAAGCAATAAATCTCCGTGTTCTGAAGTGCGACAAAATGATTGACATAATAGTTCGTTGTCAAATCTAATGTGAAAAAACCTTTTGTATGGGAAATAAAAAAGCGCTGTTTTTAGGGTTTTCCCGGAAATGAATAAAAAAATTTCAGCTTTTAAACCTTCCCTGAACCTCCACAAACATTTCAAAACTATGATAAGGTAAATCCGTTCAGTCGTTCTTGAGTTTTAGTGAGACCAAGGAACAGCAATTCATTTTTTATATATTAACTAGTTTTTGCCCGCGACTTCGTCCGCGTTAGTTTGGTCAAGAGTAATATATGTAGGTATAGCTGACCAGGCAGTGGTGGCCTAGTGGTTAAAGGGCCAGCCTCTCGTTGCCGAGGGCGCGTGTTCGATCCTGGCCCGGGCAAGTACCAATGTGATTTTTCCGAGTCATATGTACTTTCTAAGAGTATTTAGACATCACTGATTAATGTTGATTCCCAAAGAGAGGGTTGATGTCAGGCAGGCGGCCGGTCGTAAAAACAAATAGCCAAAACTATTCACAAACATGTAAGGCAGACCCTGGCTACAGCTGGGAAATTGCCTGGTAGAAGAAGAAGCTGACCAGGCAAACTATTTCGTCTTAGAGGCCATAAATAATCAGGTTTTTCCTGTTTCAATCAAACAGAATGATTGACATATTAGTTAGTTGTCAAATCTAATGTCAAAAAAAAACGTTTGTATGGGAAATAGAAAAGGGCTGTTTTTAGGGTTTTCCCGGCAATTATTCCAATTTTTCTCACCTTTTAAACCTTTCCTGGACTTCCAGAAGTATTTCAAGACTAAAAATAGCCAAATCGGTTCAGCCGTTCTCGAGTTTTAGCGAGACTAAGGAACAGCAATCCATTTTTATATATATAGAAGATTTTTTCAGCTTTTAAACCTTCCCTGAACCTCCACGAACATTTCAAAACTATGATAAGGTAAATCCGTTCAGTCGTTCTTGAGTTTTAGTAAGACCAAGGAACAGCAATTCATTTTATATATTAACAAATTATGACTTTGAAAAATAAAATATCATCATTAATTCATTCTGTTTTAATGTGTTATCATACATCCACTTGAATTGTATTTCTTTGTTTTATTCCCATCAATTCTGTTTACAGCCGCAAATCACAGGCGTAAAGATAAAATCCCTTACTTCCATACTACTTCCGTGATATAACTTTATTCATTATGTCACTTTTATTCATCAAACTTTGATAACACGAATATCATATTCTTCCTTCTTTTATTTTGACACAAACTGTTGCGAAGAAATCACTTCAAAAAGGTCTTAAGACTTTTATATGACTTCAAAAAAGAGAACATTCTTAGGTCAAATATATAATGTTTATATCGTTATTATTACTGCAAATTAGAAATTAATTTCAAATTAATTAATATGGGTCTGCGATGTTCCCAGTGAATTTTATCGAAAGTAGAGTAAATATTGCTGTTTAGGAATGGGAGTGACCTAATTTTTTTTTAAATATTAATATGTAAAATTGATATAATTTTGTTTGTCTTATTTCCAGATTTGTCTTCAAAAAACATACTTAAAGTGCTTTTCTAAGAATGTAGTGTTAGAAAAGAACGTACAAAAACGAAATATTTTCATTAATTTCGACTCTAGCTTTGTCAATGCATACTTTAAATTTTGTTTTGCTTATCATTTCATTAGGTATCATGCTTTGCTATTTGCTATCAAAACCTCTCTGCAAAGGTATCAATACCAAAAAGTACTGTTTATAAGTATTAACTAGATGTTAAGTTAATATATGTTTTTGAGCTAGGTAAAACATAGTACAGTTTGCTTCTTTAATTTATAAAATACTTACGGCATAGATATCCTTAACGCCTGGCATGGGAGTCTCACCAATGCCATCCAAAAAGAAGGTGACCATGTTGCCCTTGCCTTTCACATCAATAGTTCCACGGCAGCGGAGCCGATATCCCCGAGTCGCCAAAATATCATACACCTCCTCTGTAACCTATGTATTCGCGACAAGCTATGTCATATATTGTTCAATAACAAAATACTATATAATGGTTCGCAAACAGCAGACTTTTTAGCAAACGTTTAACTTGTGGTACCACAAATTCGCAGTGCTTATTAATTGAAATAAATATTTCAAGGTATATGAGTGGTTCAATATTTATTTTCAGTGATATATGTATAGTATATTATATTGCTAGCAATCGCTAAAATGCAAAATGTTATTACTATATTATGTTTTAAAAAGATTTCCAGTTAATTTTCAGTCATTTTATAATTCGTCAAATAATTAAATAACAAAAGTAACTCATGTGTTCAACATGTAAGTATTTTTAAATAACTACTTTTAAGAGAAAAGAAAGAGAGAAACTATTATAAATTTTACTAAATATTTTACCTGGATATGATCAAGAAGTCCTGTAGAATCCATACGTGAAGCAACATTTACAGCGTTTCCCCAAATATCATATTGAGGTTTACGAGCACCAATCACACCTGCCACCACTGGTCCTATGTTGATGCCTATTAAAAAAATCTTTCTTTGATACTCAAAAATCAAATTATGTAAATATTATTTCGCTTTTACATCAAATTTGCTACAGACAAATTCCAGTGCACAGCAATAAAATAAATACCAACATTTTAAATCGCATTGCGAGACTAACTAGTGTATTATTGGATAATTGCAACCTTAAACAATATTATCGTAAAATTATGGCACCCATTACCAAAAAATTCACTAAATGGCACTTATCAGATGGTTAGCAGCTAAATACTATTTCTTACCGATTCTTATACGGAAGCTATTAAAGGAGTGCTCGTTGACATATTTCAGTTGTTCTCGAAGGCGGAGAGCGTAGTCTGCCATAGCCGTCACGTGGCGGTAGCCGCGCAGATCTCGAGTCGCCGCCGTTAGACCTGAAATATAAACACTCACTTAGGTATTGTCTCTTATATTAACTAGATTTTTTTAGTAAATTAGAGCTGTTTAAATCCGTATGGTTATACTTCAAGCAAGGCAAAGGTCTAAAACAATTAATTATCTCTAATGCAGAATATGCATGCTTAAACGAAAGTGTATATGTAAGTGCTTGCGTGCAATATGTAATGTGTCTGCTGATGCGCGTGCATGTTTACAGGATGATATTCAGTGTTTTTTTCTTAACTAATATATAGATTTTGAACCAATAATAGTTTTACGTGATCATGTAGTTTTGAATTTGTTGCTAAGATTTAGTTATTTTTTTTTTCATCTGTAAGCTTTTTAATTAAAAATAATATTAAAAACTTCAATGGGAGTATCAGGTATATTATGTATAAACAAAGATCCTATTTAATTTTTTATCATTATTTATAAAGAACAATTACAGTAATTTATAATGCACGAATTAAGTTACTACAGACCCGATGCTGCCATATATGTTGCACCAGTACTTTTGATCTTCTCAATATACTTAAACTGATCCTCAGCAAGAATCTCATCAAAATCGGCAATGATCTCATTTAAAAGACGGAGGCACTCCACACCCTCGTTATTTCCTTCTAGTTCCACATAGAATTCGGAAAAATTTGGGATCGAAGCAAACATAACGCAAACTGATTCACATTGTTCGTGGTACAGCTCCTGAAGATCAAAAATGTAGATGTTACCCATATTAATATTCAATAACATCAAAACTAATCTGCTCTTTTATTTTTAACTACATTTCGTAAATTAAGGATTATGAAAGTGTACTCATTAGTGAATGTAACGGAAACTTAGTCTTATTTAATTTATAAAAGGAGGAACAGGTAAACTTTTTCTGGAATTTTTATTTTATTATTGGATATCTCACATCGATGTTCTTATCGCTGCGTAGGAAATGTTGTGCAACATGTTCTGGGAGGATGTTCGCAAGCAGCTTCCTATTGTATGCCTCCAAGTGTTCCATATCTTCTTTCTCATCTAAATGAACATTTTTAAATAATATAAAACATATGAATAGAAGGAATAGGGGAGTACTTGAGTTTTTGTAGATGAAAATAAAAGCCTTAGGATTAATATATTTTTCTTCCAAGGTTTGAAAACCTCCGCTTTTATGTTACTCTCCAGTATTTCTAAAAAAATTTACGAACACTGAAATTTTCTGGAATTTTGAACATACATCAAATGAAATACAGCCGATGAAAATTCGAAACTATAAAGTTACTATATTTTAAAGGTTGAATTTATTATTTATTTTAAAGATTATAATTTTAAAGTACAAAGCTTTGTTCTATATTTTAATTTTCATTTCTTAATTCTTTTCCTAGCAAGACAAAATGCGGCATAATGTATTGTATTGCAAAGATAATTTTTAAGAAAAGCATTGGCTTTAGTCTAGTTTGCACAGGTAGTATACAGATATATGTACAGATACATATAACACAAGTATTTGTGTCACTCTGATATATTGAGCGGAAGAAGAGATGTGGCTAGAATATTACTCCAGTAAAGTAAGGACATTCTATGTTATTTTTCTAAGGTGTTGGGTAAATATAAAAAGTAAAATATGGGCGAGTTTATACAAAACTTCTTTTTTTACATTTAACTAACGGAAAACCTAAAAAAATCTAAATAAGTAATGAAAATTATGGTTAATAATATATTAAATTAAAACAAAAATTTACTCCGAATGAATCAAAAACAAAAATGAGTACAAAATCAATTAAATATGTTTTCTCAAAAAAATAATTAAAGTTATGCATGAATGCACTTACCATTGGCTTGTAATTTCCAGATGAAATCAAGACGGTAGGTACTCTCAGTTTGTTGTGAGTGCAGCATTAGTGCTATCAATGCACCCAAAGCAATGACAATATTTGTCCACTGCTGATTCCAGTCTACGTCACATTTGTGCCTGTATAAATAGTTTCATATGTTACATAAGGAATAAAAGTGTCTTGGTTACTTTGTAAATACTTATTCACAATTGCATTCGTTATTACTTTTGTTTAAATTGATATACATGAATACGTTAAATACATATATGTTTTTACGTACTGATAGTTATAGAAGTGTTCTTGGTAATAAAGATGCTTTTGTATTGTCACAGCAATATATATGATACTGATAAGGCATAACAACAGCATCTTTAAAGTTGTGATCAAAATCTGATGCACGGCGCAGAGGAACATAACCACGAGCGTCAGTTGAAGAAATTGCTGTAATTTGTAAAATATATTCCAATTTATAGTTGACATACATAAATGTTTTAATCACTATAATTATCAGATAAAAAGAACATCAAGAAGTATCATTTACTAATATAGTTTGCAATGTATTTGAGCAATATGTTGATGGTTACTAAGACGGGGAATAAATTTAAGTTTATCTTCATTTGAAATAATCTATTAATATATTTGAATCTGTGGTACACACATGCACATAGATAAATATATTACCTCATTAATGTCATGTGGACATAGTGTAGTGCCCTGAGATTTTTTTAAAGCCGGTGGATTAAACATTCCGATTCCCTAAAAAAATATATGTAATGTAATATATTATCACTGAAGTTTATCATCAAAATCAAAAAGTCACGAACCATGACGACTTCAATTTGAAGAACCAGACAAATCACAACCATAAAGGACATCAGTTGTGCCAGCGTTCGATTGTTATGCACTATTGTAGTTAGCTTTTTCAGGCGATTGCAGACGTGCTGCACAGAAGAAATCACGAAATAATAAACACAGTTACTAATACAACGCCATTCTCATAAAAAGTTACAATACCTTAAAGTCAATGGAGAGTACCAAATATATAATGGAAAATATGACCACGCCAGATATAGTTATGATGGCAATTGCTGCTGGTGTTCTGTAATAGAAGACATTAAACAATAAGTATTATAGAATATAGGAAAACCTTAATAAAGAATTATAACAATACCGTTTTAGGTTCTTTATTTGTGAACAGTACTAACTAAACATTTCTCTAACAATTATACATACTTTCACTTACATTGTGAAAATAAGTATCTGTACTATCACCACGGAGATGTATATAACTAAACTGCAGATGAAGTAAACTTTAAGCATCCTGTCTCTCTCAGTCGTATACTGAAAAAAATAATCATCTAAAAATGTCGAAGTCAATAAACAATAATATATATAGGGATCAGTTCCGTAACACATTTAATTTGTTATGATAAATAGATAACATCAACGACAATAATGAGTTAAAAGCTTTTTAAAGTTGATTATTGTCAACTGTAATACATTTGAACGTTATTCTACTAATTTATTACTTTTGTTACAATAGGAAGTTAACATATTGGATGTGTTGATGTTTCGATATTCAGTTATTTAAAATATTGACAATATTAAGAGTTCGTCTTTTAGAAGTAGTAATTTAATTCATCGGTTGGATAACATCTTACAGTGAATGTAGAAGAAAAAATCCGTCACATATTAAAACGAAATCGGAAAAGTTTTAATTTAAATTTAAAAAAAAATCTTAAAAAAATCAAAAATTGCGATTTATTTTGCAATATGCTTAATATTTAATTCAAGTTAACAAATCACAACAATTGTTAATATTTAATTGCATATATTCTTATGTAATGGCACAATTCATTACGTCAATGATATCAAGTGTACTCATACTTCGCTCTGCAATAAGATCAATTGCACGTTCGAATAGACACAGGAATGGAACGTTATTTGAAATTGTATATGCACAAAGCACAAATCCCTTGATTTTACTCGGAAATACAATCAGAGAGGGTTTTGAAATGGCTTAGTGTTACGGAAATTGTGAGTGTGATGAAATATCCTGACACTAATCTTTTTATACATTAAATTAAAATACTCAATTAACTATATAAGTGCAAATATAAAATCACACAGATGCTACATAAATTCTGGAAATTATATTATTTTATATTCTTTACTGTACGACGTAAGTACATATAATACAATTTTATGTATTGCTTCATTTAGTTAATTCAAATATTAATTTTATAAAATTAAATATACTGAAGATGCAGATCAAATTATACAGACTGATGTATTTATTTTTACATATAATATCTGGAATGAGAATAATAAAATTTCATTCTATCAAGGTATGAATGCAACGTAAAAGGTTTCTGTAAAGGGTAATTTAAAATAAAGCGAAACTTCATTTAAGGAAATAATGTATGCTCTAAAATAATTTAAGTGATTATTATTGTGCGTTATATCGTTTTATGTTCAATAATTATATACTATTTTCATTATTTATCGTCAACTTTAAATTAGAAAATGTATAATGTATATTCATGAACACGAGCCGGATTCTGACATCAATAAATCTCTTTATGTTTTCTAATTTAAAGTTTAATTTAAATATCAGCTCAACATTGCTTTGACGTTAAAAACATAATTGCATGAATATTCATTACTTTTTTCTCCAGATTACTGTCGCGGAAAGTAAGTGTGAAAGGACTGCAGTGTTCAGCACGTAGTCGTTCAATCGACCTCGCATCAATTGCCTTCATCAGATACTCGTTAACCTCATCCTCCGGTCTCTTGTTTTCGTTGTTGGTATCCACACCGATTCTACGACGAAATGTTACAGTTACTCATAGCTTATTACTTTTTTAAAACTTTGTTACTCAACAAATCAAAATTGTTATTAAATATATAAAAGCTTATTATTATCCAGAAAGAAGGTTGAATTAAAAACGGAATAAAGTTTATTTTTGTGGTTTAACTAGTTCTGACTTGATAACCTCATATGTCAATACAGTTGTCACAACTGCAGTTAAATCCAGTTAAAAATGCATACCTACATTTTATACATTCAGTGTCTCTTTGATAATCTCGTTCAAACTGACTTAGCCGTACAAAAAAAAACATTTATTTTGTATTTTGTTGTATATATATAAAAAAAGTCTCAAAGTATGTAATGTATTTAACATTACAAGGTAGTAAACGTATACTAACCAAATTGTATTTAAAAGTAATACTTTTATACCTACTTTTTATATTGTTTATAACAGTAAGTAACTTTGTATAAATACAATTGTAGTATAATTTTCAAAAGTTCTATTTAAAAAAGTTTGTTAACAAAAGTGAGAAAAAATGTACCTGGAAACTACTCCAAAAAAATACACTGCAAAAAGTTATGAAACGACAACGTTTTAGAATTCAAAATATTTACCTACATTTCTGTTCCCATTACTTAACAATATTAAATACGGTGAGATATAAGTTCGTTTGCTCTTTATTGAGAAAATCTAATATATATTTTTTATTAATAACTGATTTTACTGTGAAAAGTATCGCACGTACGCTTGTTTAAGAGGAAAGAACAATATTTATTTATTGACTTTTACTGGAAAATTAAAATTAATCTGAATTATACTTTTATATATAGTAGAAGCAATTGTGTTCGCTCCTTGTTTTGTTTACATGACATAGAGTTGTGGATGTAAAATTCTAAAGTTTCAATGATTCTTTTTTCATTATGAAATATTTAAATCAAGTCTTGCAAACATTTCGGAGTTTAAGAGACACTAAAACAAATATACAATTACTACATTCCGAGTATCATACTTACTTAGACGAATGCTTCCCGTGCTGAGAACCGTGGCCCATGACGCGCATTTCCTTTGAGATATTGCCATTTAATGAGAATGAGTGCTGTGGCTTTTTGTCCTGGGAAAAAATGGCTCAAGTTTAAAGTATTTCATATATATAATATTTACATTAATTAAATAAGGTTTTGTTATCAACAAATTTTCAATTAAAAAAAAACATCTTTTCAAAACTGGAGAAGTTTTATGCAAAGGCTTATAAGAAATAATATAATAAAATTTAAAATTCCTTTATTACATGTCGGTAAAATAACGTCATTCCTCTGTACATATAAATATTGTCATTTATTTCAATACGTGCATATATTCTCAAAAATTATTTATCTAGGCTATTCAAAAGAAGGGGGTAAACATAAAATAAATTTAATAACTTTAACTGTTTTGGCCTTAGAAACCGCGTCAATCGCGTTTTCGCTAGCTTCAAACTTATTTTATGAATTAATAGGATATGTATATTAATTTTTAAAGATCCCTTATACGTGATTCAAAAATAACATTCGATAACGAAAGAATAGCTGATAGTTGCTTTTCATTTGCGTAATCTTTATGCCATAGAATATAAAAAACCTCATAAATTAAAAATAAAAATTTATGTTTAAATATTTCTATAATAATATATTTTATGTCTGTCTATAATTAGCTTTTAATATCTATCTACACTTACGCAAAGTATTTTAATATTCTCACTGAGTAAACAAACCACAACTTGCATTATAGTTATGTTGGTTTTTGCAAACGATAGCAATATTTCAAAACATACCACAAAATATATACTTGTAATTTTCATTTTAAGGTACATCACACGAGAATTTCAATTTATGTTGTCAACTGTAAATCAGTGGCTTACCACACGACTGGTGTCATCGGGCACTATAAGGTAGGTTTCAATGTTGTGATCCTTTAAGTAGGTATTACGTTGACCTCCATGACCTGGCTCCACCTTATAGTCATCACCAAGATATCTCAATGTCTCCTTTGTAATGTGCACCCGACTATTTTTCAGAAAATTATACAAAATTACATTTTGTTTTAAAGTATTTAGTCTCAGGGAAGATTTCAGTGGAATATATTTCAAGTCACTTACAATTTTCATATAATGTATATATATATTTTCAATACTAACCCAGCAACACCACCGCTTTCCATATAGTTAGCTAGCGTCACGTCATTGGACCATACATCAAACTGCCATTTTCGGAGTCCGAGTACGACGCAGTGAACTCGTCCCGTGTGAATACCAACACGCATGTTTACGTTTACTGCCATTACCTCACGCACCAACCTGAGGACCATCACATTTATTAAATTTTCTTAAAAGCTTAATAATATTAGATAAATTTTCTTGGAAAATACTGTTTTCAAACAACAAAGAATTTATTACGGCTTTAAAAAAAATATTTAAAAAGTAAAAGAATTTTTCATAAAGCTATTAACGTTTTGTAAAGTAAACTTTTGTTAAAAGCTAAATAAATATGCGGGACTGTTATTTCATTTAATTTACTGCGTTTTTATTTTAAAAAGAATTTTTATTCTTTGTCTTCGCCAACGCTAAGTGGCTAAGTTTTAAAAAATATCCGAGTTCTTCTGAAAAATTTGTAACATTCTTTAAATTTCTTATTTAATAATAACAGATTTACTCGAAGAACTTATAAAGTTCAAATTTTTAAAAATAATAGAGGAGCTGCTGTACCTATAATATTTTTAAATATTTTACTTTCGTGATGATGTGAAACAAACCACATTAGTATCATAAGATAACCAAATAAATTATGCTTACGCAATGGCATCAATCATATCAAGACCCATCTCAACACAGCACTTGGCGTGATCATCGCGAGCCTCTGGCAGACCAGAAACGCAATAATAGCAGTCACCAAGCAGTTTGATCCGTAGACAATGATGTTCTGCCGCTAGCCGATCGAAACTAAACAAAATTTAAAATATGATCAAAATCATTATATATCTGTCCTAGAATAAAACCATTTGTAGCCACAGTAAGAAAAGTTGCAATAATAAACCTTAATAATAAAAATGTTACTAAATGTTGTCACTGCAGTTCAATATAATTTATCTATGTTCTGGTACTTCGACGAAATACTTTCAATACTATAACATAATATTGGTGCGACGGCGTTCAGATCAGATACAAATCTATATTCGCGACTTTTAAAGCTCGTTGTGTTAATAGAGCTTACGGTTCCTTGAGATACTAACATCGACAAAGACCATGCCATCGATACCAGCTCACTAACCAACTCACTAAAATAGGGTCTTTGTAAATTTGTACGCTGTAGGAGTGGGAGTGATAGGTATAATAGTTAAAGCTCTCTACAACCTACAAAATACTTGTGTCTGTCCGGAACTAACAGCAATTAATTCTTAGTACTACGTACGTAGTACTTAACGTTCTTTGAAAGCAGCTCTAGCAGTCATTTCAAATTTGGTTAAGTAGAGAGAGGAGCTTGGATAGAGAAGTTGAACATTGAACGCGCGTTAGATATGAACCTTTGAGGGGTTCCTACACCTATGTTGCAAATGCCAGGCACTATTAAAGTTCCGTACTGCAACACGATAGCCCCGGCAGCAGCATGGAATGCTGAGCAGTTATGCCTCGTCTATCAAAGGTACTGAAGTGTGTTGACGAACCATCAAAGACGTGAGAAAATTTATATAATTTTACTTTATTTACTGACATTATTTTATGCTTCATAATAACAATAGGTCCTAAAATAAAGCATATTCTTGAAGTACAATTTATAATTTAAAAATTCAGGATTATAAGCAGAATTTTTCGTTTGTTTTATTAGCAGTTAAAAGCTACAAAAGTGAAGATTTGTTTTTTATCCTTTAATTGTGTTATCATTTTATCAACCAAATGGAGATATAGATCTACATTGATTGAAAACAGAATTTGAAAGCCACTTGTCCTCAGATATATTTAATGATAAAATATTCGAACAGACCACTATATATAGTTATTAAGTAAATTTGAATACGATAAAAATGTATAATTTTGTATTTAAGACAGGTCTAATAGTATTTTATTAATATTTTACTTTTCTTCTTTACTCTAAAGTTATTTTAATTTCAAACAACGCTTCCTAAAATAAACATTTTGTTGTTGTGATTTAATCAAATAAGTTTTGTTTTAAATACCGCAATACTTTGTTCTGTCACTTTTAACTTTTACTCAAAGCTTTATAAATTTCCGAAATCACCCTGTTGCATTATTGTTTTATTGTATTGTATTACCCTTTTGGCTAAAAATATATAATTTCAATTTATATTATTAAATTTTAATATAAAATATTTACTACAATATATTTTCTTCTCATTGGTAACGATAAATTAAATAACATAAAATGAATAATACGATATGAGTAAGTAATGTTAAAAAAAAATTCTTTACTTTTCACATATTTAACTATTAAATTATTAAAACAATATACCGATTAGTCCATAATGTTTCATAAGACACTATTAATTATAGAGATGAGATTACCAAGGGTAATTTAGTCCAGGGTCTTAAATGAGTATAATTTGTAACGTGAAGCGCTTAATACTTTTAACCTTTAGGAATAACTAAAGCGAAATATGTAGTTTCACAACCGATCTAGTAAAACCAATATAAGTTAAAAAAAATCTTAAGCCGTGTAAAAGTTAATACAATCGTATAAAAATAAGATATATTTTGTAAAAGTGATAGTCACAAGTATGGGAGTCATAATAATTTAGCAAGAGAAATAATATTGTTACTGGTTTAGGAAAATAAAGAAACACTGTTCTTGTATTTTTATAAATTAATTAAGATATATTAACACTGTGCAATTATATTGTTCAATGTAAAAATAAGAATCACAGAGGGAAAGTACTAAAAAATATATTTTCTCATCACAAGTCTAATGTTTCCAAATTCTAAGAGATGTAACTAAAATAATTTAGTCTTTAATAATCTAGAAAATTTACAAAAAAAATATAAGAAATATATTTGGAACTTCTCGCTGATATAAAAGAAAACACTAATTGAAAATTACTTCCATTCAACGGATGTTATGAGAAAACAGCTGCAAAAGATGTTTTAAAGAAAAATACTTTACCGAGCGAATAGTTCATTAAGAAGGCGGACAAGTTCCTCAGCAGTGCATTGGTCGGACAAAGAAGTGAAGCCACAGATATCCGCAAATAGTATGCTGGAAAAATACATTCTTTAGAAAAAGTAAATATATATAAGTTATATCTCTTTATAGAATTTCCTTAGATTTAGATAACTGTCATTTCAATATTTTCAACCGGAAAAAATACGGTTTTTTCTTCCTAAGCCCTGTATTTAACAAAATATTATTTTTCAAATTATTAGAAAAAATAAAACAAACAACAAATTCAGGCTTGTAAAAAAAAGTATAGCATGTGTTTGTAAGCAATTGATATTATTTCAAAATAATATAAATACATAATTTTATTCAAACACTAAACTTCTTTAACTTTCACCCTTTTCATTCCACCCCCTTTTTGAACAAATGGGCTTATATGAGTGATATGACCTGAATATTTCTCATTTAAGATATAACGAAGGAGTTTTTTAATAATATAACAAGAAATCACAAATCAGCTTGCAGCAAGACTATTTTATTTCTAATAGTTTGAAAAATAAAACAAATTAACATTATCTAGAAAGTTATAGTGAAAAATCACTCATCATAATGAAGTATTAAAAGATCTAACTATTTCCTAGATTCTTTCAGATCCTTAAAGTATGTTTATACATTTAATTAAATATGGATTTAATTACTATCTAAATAAGAAGTAATGAAAGTAAACACTGATCTAAATTCCATCTCACAATTTCAACAACTTTTTTATTATAATAATATTTTCCTTATCTTTTACAATCAATATGTATGTACCATAATGTCTTTTTTTTACTTTTTGAGAAATATTTATGAATTAAACAAAAAACAGAATATGTGTTTAGAACAAACAAAACAATTATGATATTTATCAAAAGACACACAATTTTGTGAAATTTTCTATTTTTAAGCTATTAACTTAGAAATAACTCAAATAAAATCAATGATTATAAAAAAAAATTCAATTACATCATGTCAATAATATTTATAGTCTCTTTTCAACGGGTTTATTGATTAAAACAAAACCATTAAAACAAAAATCCAAAACTAACCTTTCCTACCTACCTAATTTCTTTTAGTAGAGAAAGTTACAATATTTTTGACAGTGCAACGAGTGTCTATATGAATTAAGTTTTGTATTAACTTACCTTACATTCTCGTATCTTTGTATGTAGATCTTATGGAACTGTTCTTGTCTCGGCTGATTGGCGATGTCAGCCTTCATTTCCATCGCCACATGACGGGGTAACACCGATAGCAGTAAGCGTTCCTGTTACAAAAATATTTGGGGTAACAGAAGTTATTCTACAATACTTCCATTTTAAAGTTACAATTTTATTTAAGCAAACGATATTCGTTTCACGAAAGTATAAATATATTTTTTTATAAAATTGACCAAATTATACTGAAATGCTCAATATATTAAAAAATATATATTTTCAGGATAAACGCATCTCAAGTTTGTGATACTTGAAGTATTATTTACAGCCCATAAGTTATTTATATTATAATAATGATCTGACTGTATTCGGTAAAAAATCTTTATCATGTTGTTTATATATATGAATAAGGATTCACTTACATTTCTAGATTTCATTTAAGGTAATCAGGTAACTTATTATCTGCGTAGACTTTAAAAATCGTATAGAAAGCTGTGGTTAAAACAAACTTTTGTACAAACCCCAGTTGGGGTACTATGGTAAAGAAGTTGTGTCTGAAAATTTTTGCTCGGTAGAAATACTTAAATAAATTCTGTGATCTAACTTGATCAAACCTACTTTGACAAAATTGTTCAGTTTTTTTAAACTATCTTTCCCGTTCGAGCTGTATTGTTTATATTAAAACTGTGATGCTTTAAATTCATTTTTCTTATAAAATAAAAAATATATATATTCTAGTGTTCTTGTTATAGAAAATAATGTGTCTTAAAAAAGGTCACAATATTACTTAAAACCAACTTAAAAAAGATTTCACCCTTTCTGTAGACAAAAATATGAATACAAATTTTAATCTCTGATAACCGATGAACAAGGAGCAATTTGCGTTTGTTTGTATTGGGAATGTGTGAACATTGAACTACAATATCCAAGTTTCAAAACTTATTTGTCGCTGGCGTATAACGGAAATTGATTTAATCTCATTGATCCATTAAGTATAGAGTTGCTAATGAATCGAGTGATTGACGTATTTAATTACATTGTTGTAATATTTTCATCAAATTACCGATGAACCAATTAAAATTTTCGTATGTATTGACGGTTTGGTGTTCTTTAAAATATGTCCATTATAATTGAACAATTATTATAATAAAATAATTATTAAGCCATTAATTTAATTGATTTTGTCAATTTGTTATTTGATACAGAGAATAAAACAAACACAATTTAATCAAACAATACACTTTCTATATTAAAATCATATACTGAAAACAGTTCAGTTCAATCGATGTCTTTGTTTGCTTTTCAAAAGTTTTATTTGACGACCCACACCAGGGCTAACAATGTGTAAAATGAAAACAGAATAAAACGGCATTTAATGCTACGTCACATTTCAATGTAGAAGTTATAAATTCATATTTCAATTGTAGGTACGTTTGTCAATTATGAGTTTCAACTGATTATTACATAATCTGTATAGTTTATCATATTATTAATATTAAAACGTAATTACAATAGTAATGAACGTAATTATGCAAAATGTAAATATGGTTATCCATCAATTATACATGAACGACTGTTTTGTATTTATGAAAATATTATATAAATATAAAAAGTACTGCAGGCATTTTATAACAGTTAACTTTTATGTTAATACTTTATACTTAAATATAAATTGTGATTGTTAACATTTTCTGTTAATCAATCATAATAAGCCACATTTGAATCAGTAGTTATTTATTTTTAATTTGAAGATATGAAATTCATGGCAGAAATTCATATAATAGTCAAATTGTGGGTGAAAAACTTATCCCGGCGTTAAAGTCTTTCAGCCTATCAGATAAAAGTAGTGAAGTTTCGTAAGTGAAATTGAGAATTGAAATACTGTGACAACATAGTTTTGTAAGAATTGAAAGAAGGTAATGGACATTTTATTGTATTCAGTTCGGCAAATATTTTTGTATTGACAACTTTTTGTGAATGACTAATGGTTAAATACGTTGATCTCTACTTAGTTGTACGTATTTGATGGCTCAATGATACGGTATATCGTGTTGGTAGTTTTTAATAGTCAATAATGATAATTTGAAAATTCATAAAGGGTCCCTTTTTATTATGTCAAAATTTTTAGGTATTTTTAATTTAAAAAGGCTTATCTATAAAAATAATAAAATTGTAGAAAAGTGCTGTCTGTACATTGAAAATAAAAATTAAAAAAATAGCAGGGGTTATTGTTATGTCGATGTCGAACCCAAAAATGTAATTAACTTTTTTTTTGTCTGTTTGTCTGTTTGTCTGTCCTAAGATTTCTGAATTCGGTAAAAGTAGACAGTGTTGAAATTCACATAAGAAGTATCCCACAATGTAATATTTTCCGTTTCCATTAGTGACTAAGACAAAACGGTCATATGAAAATATGGGAAGATACATACCAGTAAAGTGACCATCCTAGCAAAGGTTATCCTATTTGTATTTAAATTATAAAAAAAATAAATTAAAAAAAAATCAATGACACGAGCAGGACAAGAAGTTGGAGTTGCTTAAACCAGAATGCTAAATAATGGAGCTTCCTACTCGGTCCTACTCGGACCCATGAACTAACTGTGTATTATTTTCTATTTTATTTTAATTCAATCATTAACTCAATGTTATTTTAAAGTTAAAATATGATATTTTACTTAACTGACCTAAAATTTTGATATTTTTATATTTCGTTAGCAAGGGCGTTGAAGTGACTGTAATTCAACCTGTAAATGTAAACTAGATTCAAAGTAAAAAAAGTAGAAGACAGAACTGCCCATCTTAAGGTAATTACCATTAACCTACGCATGGAAATAGCGACGATCCTTTAAAGAAACTTATTTTTTGTAGAATGAAAATCGACATCCCGAGGTGAAGTACAAGACAGTAGTCTTCCGATATTCAGTATTGAATTATTTAGTAGCTAATAAATTTCGAAATGACTTTCGATATTTCGTCCTTCAAGATCCCAATATTTTAACAAATCTCTGGAGCATTAGTTTGGAATTTAGAAGCTTCATGACATCCTTCTATTAAATACAAATAGTACTTTTGAATAACTACGTTTATTTTTATCTAAGTACTTTTTCTCAAAATAATTAATCAGATTATTTATTCTCAACTGTTAAATTGAGACTATTCCAAAAATCTATTCGCTGCCTTTCTAGTTTGCTCTTTTACGAGTTTGACCTTTTCAAATACCGAACAATACATTAGGTAATAAAGAGAAATATCCCAAAATATGAGGAGGTTATAATGTTTAAAAGTCGTTACCGCTAAGACGTTTCCCAAAATGTGTGGCGGTCTTCGGACAAAGAGCAAGAAAGTAAACTCTTTTACTTATTTGTTTTTATCTTCTTAATAATTATGCAGATTAATCAAAGTAGTTAAAAAGTTACGCAATTCTTATAATAATAATGCCAATTATCAAATTCCTTAGTGAAATCAGTTTTATAGGGCTATTTTATAAGGCTATCTTACCTGCTGCTGGTTCTCTCTTTGAGTGATAAGACGTGCTTCCACGCAATCCCGCGTCTCTAAGAAGGCTCGGCGTTGAGCGAGCTCACGAGGATGGTGGGTCATTATCCCGGCTACGTTGCAAGCAATCAGTGTCACTACGCTGCAAAGGATCTGAACAAAAAAAATATAATCTCACTATTTTTAAATTAAATATTTTTCCAATATGACATTGCTTAAACTTATGCCGAATTAAATGTCTTTCATTACCTTAAAAATATTTTTAAAATGTACACAGGAAAACTAAAAAAATATAAGGATACATAAAGACGTTAAAATTTTAGTAAATGTCAGTTTTATCAAAGTCTATTAAATCGAGTTTCAACAGTACCCCTACTCATATACTTTTTAAATACACTTCAAGAGTTTTTAACTTGTCAAATTGAATTTAAACGTTTAACCTAAGAAAGCTAAAATATAGCTAGTTTTTAAATTGTAATAGTTGTAAACGAATAAAGAAATATAATATGCAGGGCATATATAAATTGGTAATACCTGGGCATCAGTTCCTCTGTTCATGACCAGTTGTGCACCAATATTGACAGCGGCGAGTGCTAATCCACCTACTGTGGCCTCATGCAGTCTTACAGGGAGCGTCGCGTATGTAACATAGGTGAAAAGAGCGCATGCGCCGGCGCTTACATCGAGAGACCTTCATAATATAATAAACTATATAATATAATAAGTACATATTAAAAATTCAACACAATTTCTTATAAAATATTTTTCCGTCTAACAAAAATGATTTCACTTTTAATAAATTTTAAGTAACAATGGATTACCTTCTCTTAAGGTAACTTTTAGATTAAGCATTTGTAATTATAAGTCCAACTTTAACTAATTAAATGATGAACAGCTACTTATTTAAATTAAAATATTTTTAACATTTTTTCTTTCAGCTGTACTTTAACTAATGTAAGAAAAAATTAACAACAACCCGAATACTTAAATTGTGTAATATTTAAAATGTGTTATTTTTAACTCCAATAGATCACTGCTTGTTTGGACAATTGGCGGGATAAAATTGTCTAGTGTTACATATCTTTCATTAAAAATAATAGAATACTAAAGATTTCGTGCTCAGAACTCTGTGTTTAAATCAATTGTAAGTTTGAACTTTTTCATGTACATATACTAGTATTACTAGTCTTTAGATCCGTGTGTTCACATTTTTAAAGTTTTTAAGAAACCCTCTTAATTAATTTGGTTATAAAAATAAATTTAACAAATTCTGACAAACCTAAGCACCGATGTACCAGCTAGAGCAAACTCGATCAACAAGAACGTTACGAGCACAACGTAAGAAATGGTCAGGAGATATATCTCGTTCATTGCTGGTCTGCTTAGACAAGCCAGGAGACCTTTGAAAAGAAAACAAAATGCACTATAAATTCGATCAAGTGAACAGAAACGAAAATATTTTTTTTTAATTTGACATTTATTCCCTTTTAAATACATTTGGAGGGTTATTGTGTAAAGAAACAAATACTGAATTGAAAAATAAATATTAAGGGTAGTTCTAACAATTTCGAATTCTTAAATTTATTTCTAGTTATATCCAATTGAATACTTCCAATGTATTTTAATATGTAATCTAAGTAACTTACAACGGATAAAACTTTATCTTTTCCTTCTGTGATTTTAGTTTATATTAAAATGTGTGTAGCATTTAAAATAACTAACACATATAAACAAATTGTATCGCTAGCACTGATATGGATTCAAAAGGTCGTCGACAGTGTACCAGCGACCACAAAATTTGTATTACTCGGATAAAGTTAAAAAATATCATATCTTCTGCCTTGAAGATATTTTAAGCACAAAATAAACTAAACGTTGACAATGGCTAAACAATTTATTTTATATAAATACATAGCTAATTCAAATATCTCAGCGTCGCAATAAGACAAGATAAATATTTTATGACAGAAAAGAACAAAGGAAATAACCTTTTGTATGAAATATGTATGTATGGGTTTTCTAGGTATTGTTGAGTTAACACAACCTTTCAGAGCCTACCTAGTTAATTTTTAAAGTTTCTTTACGTTCAAGATAAGAGTAAAATTATCTTCATCTATTCAAATGCTAAGTTAAAGTTATTTACACTGGATTATAGTTTGATTTATTCAACGGAAAGGGATTAATAATCAACTATTAAATTTTGTTATATGGATAAAAAATTACAATAATTGAATTTTGAATTAATGTTTTAGAACATTCTGATAAATTGTTAAGTACTTGGGAATATGAATGGCTTTCTAGTTGCTCTATCGTTGTGAAGATTTATTTATTTCTAACATATAATGTGTCAGAGAGATATGGCCATTCGTGGGATAGGAATTTCTAGCACTTAGATCTTTTGTTTCTCACTTTACATTTAATTTCATATATTGGAAGTCAAATATTTATAGACTCGATTCTTATCGAGCAAATAACGACAATTATAGCATTCTTACACAAAAATGTTACTTACATGTATAAACAATGGATGTAATGCCAAGTATGATGATATTAATTATATGAGCCACCCGTTCTTTTTCGTAGTAAATGCGTTTAAGCAACGTTGAATTGAGATTTTGCAATTCATGATAACCTTCAATTGATGTAGGTATTCCAGCCGCTAGGTCCAATAATTGGCTAAATAAAAACAAAAACTTTTGTATAATATTTTCCAACACATTTAACTTGTAAATATTTTTCTTTATTTATATCAATTTATAAATTAATACTATTACTAACCTGGTAGTGTCTGAACTTAGAAATGAGTTGTTTGAAAATTTCAGTACTCCACTTAAGAAATTCTGTGCTATTAGTAATGTTCGCACTTGAACCATTATAAGGGTCACCGCCAAAACCAATAATAGTCCGAGTAAATGTGTCATATTCGTTTGGTTCATACGCAAAAAATAGCGCTGGTATAACATCTCAACCTGAAATAAAATGTGCTATTAAATTTCATTGAAGTATTACTTTATTAAAAAAAGCCGCTTATAATTTCAAAAATATTTTTCTTAAATTCATCCATTACTTTTGAAAGTATATTAAAATGTACTTAACAGTTTATTTACAAAAAATATATTTACTGCAAATGCGCTAGTTAATTAAAATATCCTTACTTCCTATCACGTATTATCAAAAAATTCATCATCCTAAATGAATGTGAGAGTAGTGCATAAACACTGTAACTAAGTATTTTGTGCCCTTTCTTTCAACAGACTGTTTGAAGGAACTTAATATTTATTTTATCTAATTTATTTTTTTTTACATTTTAACAAAATGGCTCTTTCATTTGATATTTATACTATGGGAGTTTAGTAAAATATAGTTTTTTTTTTTAAATAAAAACAAACGGAATGGACAACATTATTGGAACGATGAGGATTCGAATCTCCAACCTCCGTACTATCCTTTGTCAGTTTCTTTATTACCTTCAAGTAGTTTTTAGTAGCAACGGAAACAACTTACATGAAACCATTTAATAAAAAGATGAGTATGAGCTAAATCTAAGTATCATAACCTGTCTAGTTTGTATTGCGATTCGTGGGATAAACTTATTTGTCTGGTTAAGGAATATTTCTATCATTTCCAACAGTATTCAATTTATCATTAGTCTTATCAAACTATTTTCTCTTCTACTGTATATTAATGCAGCAAATAGAAAAAAATCTTGCAAGTATGTCCTTCATTTTCACTAGTACAGCCCACTAAGTAATTAAAATAGTCAAAATAGAGAGGTTCTTATCATCCTTTACCTATTTACTCGTAGTATCCTATATATACTATAATTAAAATATTACAAACCTTTTTGAATATATATTTTATCTTAGACATTAGTTTCTGATAGGCTAGTTATTACATACAAGACATGTTCAATTTTGATCTAGGAATAACATTTTATTGCTGTAGGTCATTATCAGACAGTCATTTACCCTATTTGTTGTCAAGAAATCTATTTATGTGCTTACAGCTGTAAAATAATTTTCGAAATCATTTCAGCGATTTTTTTAAAAAGAAAACTTGCAAATGAATAAATATTATGATGGCTACTCAAGTTTTCTCAACAGTTGTTTCTATAAAGGCGTGTTTCCTGTGATATTTTTTACAACTTTTGTATTTGTTTTGGCAACTGTCGAAAACCAAACAACTTTTAATTATTTTTTGACACCGATTTCAAACGAATTGCTAACAATTTTACACCTAACTGGTTTCACTGGTAACATTGTTTAAATTAAGTTTTTCTTCATTCATCCATATGTTAGCTATATTTTTATTTTCAATTTATTTTTTCCATTAAGGGTGTCAGCAAAGGAAATAAAACTTCAAAAAAACCTTTCGCTGATGTATATTAAACATAGGATTTCCGGTATACGTTTCAAAATCTATTTACTAACATCAGATATAAACTCATACTTTTGTCGTCAAAACGCATTAAAACAAAAAAAAAATCATATACTCTTCTATGGGCAATATATTATGATTTCAATAGGAACCTATAGTCAATAAGGTTAACAACTATAAAAGAATGTACCATGGGTACTCGTCTTATGTTTAAACCATGAAATATCCTGGATATTTTCAGTGAAACATAAGGCACTAGTTGCTTGATCACCTTACATAAATGAACTCATTCATTAAGTTATTTTATAATCACGCTCGAAGGATGTGAGTGTTTTTTTTATATATTCGTTATTTATTTAAAAAATAAACCTTTATTACTGTTTATGGGCTTTCTTTGACAACTTAAGCATGAATTAGTCAAGTTACATTAAATAAACCTTAAACAAAGTCTGAAAACACTTTATAATAAGATGCCCACTAGGTTTTAATAAATGTTATAACATGCTTTGTACTAGTATTAGTTCTATAATCATTTTGAATTTTACAAACAATACTGTAATGTATTTCAATCGAATTAAATCCTAAATCTCAGCCTGATTAACAAACAAAACAAGAAACAATAGTTTGAAAACCATTTATACAATTACATATTAATATTCAATATGTTTTTGCAAAAGTTTAAGAAAATTGGTTATAATTACAGGACTTCAGACTGCACCCCATAGTTAATAAAAAAACGAGTTGCGAATGAACAAATAAATAAATAATAATATTTATATTATTAAAAAACATAAATATGTATAAACGAATGAAAAAAAAATTAAATAGCCTATTGGTTGTTTGTTACATTATTTTGAAGAGTATTCAAGTATCCACTTGACTGAGAACCTTTGTAAAACACAGATGAATAGATGAAGTTAAACAATTTCAGTGACAGTTTTTCGTTCGAAATTCGCAGTGAAATTGCTTTGATATGTTTTTACTTAATTACTAAAAAAATATGGAGGCCGAAACAAAATCTTACAATTGTTAAAATCTTTTAAATTTATATATCAGTATAAGAAGTAATGGAAATTAAATGGTCTACAACCTAATTTTGATACAAATAATTTTTCATGGAAAATCTAAACGAGTACTTGGTTACAAGATATAGCGCAAAAACTTATGAACCTATTATTCCGAGGTTTGGAAAGGCATGAGAGCTGAGATCCTACAGTGTACTTGAATTTAATCTTAAAAAAAAAGGCTTAAACAAAAAGGCTACAAAATCGAAAGAAAATTACTACTCAGTTAAACGTACGACGCTAATATGTGTTTGTACTATTTGTTTTTTGTGTCTTTTTACGTAACGTAAAAATGCAACGTTAGGCAAACTCAATATATATTATTATTAAACACTCATATAGCAAAAAGTATTAAAGAACTATTTAGTATAGAAATATAATTGTAAAAATAAATAAGAACAATATAACGAAAGATAGTTTAATATTTTTCACAAAAGAAATTATTCATGGTTTTAAAATTATACTAGGCATATTTATTTAACCTACTTGAAATTTTATATATATAAGAAAGTTCCGTATTTATACTATTTATAACTGAATAACGGCTGTAGGGGTATAGTTGAAAACCTGTGTGAAGATAGCTTAGAACCAGGAGACGGTGATAAGACATTTAATTCTTTTTCATCGAAAAAGAAAAAATAAATTCCAATATCTTCTTCTTTGTGGCCTCTAGGACGGAATACAGTTCTTCCCGTCAGCTATATACATATATAGCACTTAATCCGAAATTAACGCATACGAATTCTCGGGCAAAACCTATTATTTAATAAAACTGTTACCACAAAAATACTGAATGAATTGTATATTAACCTAGAAAATATTATTATATGCGCAAGGGAAAGAGGAAGCTTAAAAGAAAATCGGTTAGAAAGCTTATTCCAATAAAACTTCTTCTTTCCTTTGGCTTCAGTTAGTGTCGTAAGGATGTGAGATAAAAATAAAATTTAAACAAGCTTTGGACATATTTTTCTCACTTATGTATGATACTTACATATATAAAAATTACATTTATGATTGTAATTTTATTCTGGTTTGTTGACTAAATTAGTTGTTTAACTGTTACTCATATACATTATATAATGTCTCATGTCATTTTATACCCTTTTTCCATTTGCTGGACTAAAGTTGGCTGTAACATGCTGACGTCATATTTATAAATAGTTATTAATGTTTTTACTGGACTGTGTCAGTTCAAGTATGAGTATTTATCTTTTATGTTTATCATGGCATTACATTAGAAATAAATAAAAATACTCATATAAATGTCACATTTTAATTTCTGCTACTTTGTCGTAATCTTTTTTTTGAGCAACTTACATTACGGGCGGTTGATAGGCTCAATCTACTTTTAAGTCTAATGGACGGTTAAATTTGTTTCGTCAAAAAAAAATATCATCTTAAAATTAGTAGATATTTTATAGTTCTCATATTGAATTTTTTTCAAATAGACCTCGAGCTGTTTATGAAATAAAATTCTTGAAGAGATTATGTTGAAACGATAGAATGTATATCTTAATAATATGTCGAAATATATTTTCAGTCAGCACTCATATTATTTATCCAATATAAATGGTTTTGCGTAAACCTGAAAGCTTTTTTCGTTTTATAGCTTTATAATATGGTCAGGGTTCGAATGACCACAGCAAATGCTTGGTTAATTAATACCATGCTTTGGTAATTATTTTTAATTTTGGTACTTATCGTGTATTGGCTCTTTAATAAGTACTATTAAAACTAAACATGTCATCAGAAATATACATCTGTGATATTTATTATTGTTTTTAGATTTATAATTACAATTTTCTATGTTACTGATAATTTTTAAAAATCAAACAAAATAACAATAAGTAATATTCAACAAACAAATTTAATTTTATAAAATTCCTTTTATGATATTTCCCTTGTTTGAAATTTCATACATACAAGTCCACTGGACTGCAAGTGGCATAACATTCAATTTAATGAGACTTTGGCTGTACTTGGCCAACAGTTGCAATTACAACGAATATGAATGAACCTTGTTACGAACAACATTTCATTATATAACAATGTTTTATTGCTTGCATTTGAGCAAATAGTAAATTGATGCCCATTTATTTGAAAACCGCAAGTTATTAATTCTAGACTTCTATATTTTACTTTGAAATTTGATTTAACTCAAACGCTCGTACTTCTTAAAGAATATGTTAAAAACCACTTCAGTGTTAATGTGCTAATTATTTTTGCCATCAAAATAAGAATAGGTAGATGGCAAAAATAATTGTGTTATACAGCGTTAAAGGTTTTATGAAAGAATTCATAAATAGCCAGTAAATATTCAAAGAATTTGGTTCTATTCATTTTTAGAAATTCCAACGCTGTAGTACCAAAATAAATTTTTATAAAGACAGATATGAAAACGTTTGTCGCACTGATATTTAGAATTCAAAATACATAAAAATATAATGTAAACTGTTCATTTTCTAAATCTGATTTGATATGAAATGCTATCTCTGTCGCTTACAAACTAAGAGGATTATATGTATCCA